TTAAAGGGATATGGCAATAAAAATTATTTCTGCACATCTTATGGAGCCTTTTTACAAAATTTGTTTATCTTCCTTACATTACTTCGCAAGATATTAGCGATCAAAAACATCGAATACCGAGATACATCCGCCATCTTGTTTTATTATGAGATCTCATTACGTGACGTCAAAAGTAGGGTTAACGCTAAAAATAACAATTACATGTTTACGCTTTAGTTTAGAACTCTTACAATTCAAACGCTATAATTTGAGATACATGCGATTGTAATACAATGGAACTATAACTTCGCCCGATCGTTAATTTGAAGTTACAGAACGAATTTTCACCCAGCTTACACGTAACGCATATCAGAGCAAGAATATGCATATCCAAAATGGCGGATGGAAGATTATTTCATTCGAGAATATCTTTAGAAGTAATAAGTTTAAAAAAATCCGTAAACGAATTTTGTACATAATCATGACGTTCTTTCAAAATAGACAAACTTAAGATAATTTTCCTTGTCGTACCCCTTTAAAGTAAAATTGCTTTAGATGTCTTTTTTTCAAGTAAAAAGTTAAGTGATATAGGATATGTGGGGTTTTTTATCACGATATTGCGGAAATGGAAGGAACTTTTCAATTACCTAAAAAGCCATACCGAACGGCTCCAGTCGTCCACACCCAATACACGCCCCTTTTTCTCGGAGAAAGCAACCCCTGTACATATAAATACTTACTTCTACATGTTGGAATTTCTCCATTCCACACTCCATTTTCACATGTCAATTTTCGTGATGCTTCAGGAACAAGACTAACGTCAGGAGGACAAACAAATTCTACCTCTTTCCCATCGAAGAATTCGGTCCCTACCACTCTCGCGTTAGTTTCTTTGTTCGGATCTGAGCACGTTTCTTCGGAAAATCCAGAAGATATACAAGTTTTTTTGAAATAAAAAAGGATGCATGTGCACTGTCATACAGTCATATTAACCTAACCACACTTGCTGCCTCATGTAATACCAAATGAAATCTTTATATGCGATGTCTATATAATAGATATAGACGAGTTTGATATCTCTAATGTACCTGTATGATGGTCTCATTTAAGAGGTTTTCTGATTAGTGACCTTAATAAGCACCCTGCGGGAAAATTGTTTTCCACTAGATATCAAAGGTCCTTTCTATACAGCTATCAAAGGTCCTTTCTATGCAGCTATATAGTGTACCTTCACAGATCGGTTCAGAGGCATTCCAGGTTCCACTACTTGTACATTTTAAAATTTCCTCGCCTACAAGGACGTAAGTTTCATCACAAGCAAATCTTATTTGATCCCCTTCAAGGTGTCCACCTCCGATTACCAGACCATTTTCAAATGACAAAATTCTCCCGCAAATCGCTAAAAGTAACGAGATGTTAGAAATTTTTAAATTTTGCAATTAAAATTGTAAAGAATGATTAATGTGAAAAAACTTTATTTTAAAACATGAAAGAAAATCAACATGGCCAGAAAGGGCAAAAATAGCATATGCAGATTGCCGTGAAATTTGCATATTTGTTCAGCCGAAGAAAGCGGAAATTGGAGAAGCTATAGAACAATCATTTATAGTACATAATACAGTCTTACAGCAGGATGCATGAATGGTCGCCAGAGACCAGGCGGCGACCAACCGCCATCCCAACGCTTTCCAAAATCTATAATTTGCCTGCCCTATTGCCCGTACGCCTATGAGCAGCGTTCATGTTTGCAAAACTAAGGCAGTACGTGGAAAAGGCAAAACGAATGCTCCTGAAGGAATGACAGATTAAAACAAGAATATAGAATTATAAAATAACATGTATATAACGCGTTTTCTGATTGCTTGAAGCCCGTGTTTGGATCAGGCCATCCAAACACGGAAATTTCGCGGGAATTTAAAAACAAATTTATTATGGTTTGTTATTTTATAAAACAATTACTTAATGTCTTCCGTGTTTGGATGATCTGATCCAAACACTTGGGAATGTTGCTCGAGTTAAGAAAAACTTATCTTCGGCTCGCCTTTCTTAACTCTCGCAACATTCCCGCGTGTTTGGATCAGGCCATCCAAACACGGAAACCATTAAATAATTGTTTAATATCATGATCTACAACACAAACCTAAGCAATGCGGTAAATTCTCCGTCCACCCTCCATCAACACATCTTGCTTTAGATGCGCCAATCAGGTCATAACCATCAAGGCACGCAAATTGCACGGCTGAACCATGTGTTTTATCTGTACCACTTATTACTCCGTTAACGATTCTTTCCAGTGATGGGCATGATGCTATGTGAAAAATATTTTAAACATGGATAAGGCGTTATAAAAGTATTTGTGAAAAGACGTAAAAATCTTAACAATATTTCCATTGCACTTTCAGTTTCACTTACATTACTGATATGTGGTCAATTCTATCAATTCGATAGCTGTAACTTTTTATTAGTACGCAAAAAAGGTGAAAGAATGTGATAAGTCTATACGGTGGGATTATTAAAAAAGATAAAGAGGAAATAGTCTTCTTTGACTTTCCACCGTATAAAAGCTTTCGAACGAGTCAGATATCTTCGGATATCCAACATCCTACGAAACAAGATCATGAAATGCACAGCGTAAACGAACAGTATTGGAAGGAAAAATCTCGACATAGCAATCGAAATTTAACATAAAGCACCTTTATTATTTTAACTAACGAGATGTAAGAGATTATAACCTTTACATGTTGGGAATACTCCATTCCATTTTCCACGCTGACATGTCAATTTTCTCGATGCTTCAGGAACAAGAATATGGTCTTGAGGGCACACGAATTCTACCTGCTTTCCGTTATAGAATTCATTTTCCGTCACTCTTGCATTCGTACTTTCATTCGGATCAGAACAAGTTCCTGTGGAGGAGAGAGAAGAGACCTATCTGAGACCTATCTGAGACCTACCTTTGTGAGAAAAGACCTATTTCTTATTATACAGTTAACGAAATTAGCCTGTTATACGGTTCAGTGGTGTAGCAAACCTGAGGATTAGTCCAGGGTGATACATTCTATATTCAAAGGGCCTTAATACACACTTCAAATTCAAGCCGGGAACAGTTGATGTCCTTTTGCCCAGTGTTAGCAATATATAACAGAAAAAACATTAAACATGTAATCCAAATTGTAAAATCGTGCTTTTTCGTGGAAGCATGCCACCGCGCTACCAAGCTGAAGTATATACTGCTCCTATGCTGTATGTATAAGAATATATGAATATGTACAGTTAAGCCGTATAACTACTTCCCTGATGGGGGAATTTTTCAAATCTTCCTCATGCATGTGAAAATCAGTTATAAAGGCCCGTTTAAACTTTATGCGATTTTTTTTGGTAGGTGTGAACGAGTGACTATAATTATTACGAATGCTCTGATGTATAAGAGCATTCATTTGAACATCCGTAACTAATTCACTCGTTCACATCTATGGAAAGTGTAAACGGGACTAAAGAATAAGCAGCGTTCATTCCTGCAAAACTGGGAAGATAGTACTGCCGTGAAAAAGCCAAAAGGAATGCTGCTGGAGGAATGGCAAATTAGAACGAATAGAAATATCAGATCAATAAAACGAATAGAAATAGCTATATCTAAAAATTACAAACCTAAACACTGCGGTAAATTTTCTGTCCACTCTCCATCAACACATCTTGCTTCAGATGCGCCAATTAGCTTATAACCATCAAGGCACGTAAATTGGACGACTGAACCATGTGTTTTATCTGTGCCATTTTTTACTCCGTTAATGATTCTTCCCAGTGATGGACATGATGCTATGTGCGAAATATATTAAAAATTAACACATATAATGCAAACTTATATGTGGTCAGCGGCTCAACCATGCAGTTCTATCAGTAACTTATTATTAGCTAAAAGAGAAAAAGTGAAAGAATGGTCGGAGGAAGCAGATTACAATGAAATCTAAATGAAAGATCGTTCACTACGTCATTTAAAATTGCAAATAAACTTTGCCGAATGGTTACTTTGGATTGAAAATCAAACCCAACTATATATAACTTAGCTACATAGTTAAAGCATTTAAGCTGCAGTTTACTGAATATTAACAGCAGGTAAGTGCAGGGGTAGAATCTTATCATAGTTATATTCATCTTATTCGTTTATTTAATTTTTCCATTATCCGGTAAAATCATTGCCACGAGATTAGGACGTAGTTTTTCCCCTTTATAAGCTTTTGAACGAGTCAGCTTCGGACAGGCAACATCTCACGAAACAGGGTTATGGAATGCGCGGGATAAACGAACAGTGTTGGGAAGAAAAATCTCGACATACGCTATAGAAATTTAACAAAAAGCACGCCGATTATGTTAACTAACCTTTACATGATGGAAATACTCCATTCCATTTTCCACGCTGACATGTCAATTTACTCGATGCTTCAGGAACAAGAATTTGGTCTTGAGGGCACACGAATTCTACCTGCTTTCCGTCATGGAATTTATCTCCTATCACTCTTGCATTAGTACTTTCATTCGGATCAGAACACGTTTCTGTGAAATGGAGAAAAAATAACGCTATGTAAAGAGTGCGTAAAACTTTAAACGCACATAAAATATAGAATATAACATTAGAGTTTATGTTCGCGGACATAAATGTGTTTTTGGCCTGACTCTGAATTCATACTGTATTGTATTAACTTTAAAGGGCAATTTTTGTAGAAAGAATTATGCAGTGGGTGAAACTTTAGTCATTCTTTTGATTGGGTTAGATCAGCGGGCTAAAATATTTTTCAGCCCGGTAAATCTATAATTTAGCCCGAAAAAGTACACCGCAATGCCCGCCATAGTTAATATAAGAGAGATTACATAGCGGGAAGACCTTTTGTCATTACCAATAACGGTTCAGTGGCGTAGTCAACCTATGCATTAGTCTATAATTCATTATTTCTGGAGAATATTTAGTATAGCAGGACTAATTTTGTCCAGTAGTCTGCACCTGCGGTCTTTAATATGTAGTTTCTTTAGCCTAGTTCACCTTTACAAATTGGTTTTGAAGCACTCCAGTTTCCAGTGTTTGTACATCTTAAAAATTCTTCACCCACTAGAACGTAGTTCCGATCACAAACAAATCTCACTTGATCCCCTTCCACGTTTCCATTTCCGATTACCTGACCGCTTTCAATTGATAGAATGCTCCTGCAAATCGCTATATATCATGAGAATAAAAGCAGTATTAAATTACGGGAACGACTGAGTATTTTAATGAAATATGAAATACAAACTCCGTAAAGAGTAAACATTTTGAAAAATGTAATTGTCAAAAAATAATATTATTATAACTATTATCATAATAAAACATTTATAGTACGCGCGTGTTGATTGGTCGAGAAGCGTGTTTCTATAACTGTATAGAAACACGGGAATTTTGCCGCCGAACTTGACAAGTAATGTAGTGAGAATTTGTAATTGAATCGAATTGCAATATTTGTACAAAATCTTTTTATTGGGTTATATTACAAAAAAAAAATAAAGTTTGGGAGAATGAGAAATTATCAGTGGGAAAACGAGCCGCTAGGGCAAGTTTTTCCACGTTTTTTCGAAGAAAACGGAAAATGTTTTCTATTTCTTAATTATGAAAACTTTATTTTTGTTTTTACATAATACAATTGCAAATCTCACTTTTCAAGGTAATTTACAATCGGCTACTTGAACCACAACTAATATCCGAATACAGAACAAAAACAAGAATTTATATCAATATGGACTACATTGACATATTATTATTATTATTATTTTTACTAATAACGATAATATCATGATATACTAATATGTTTAATCTTTACGGAGTTTCTATGGTTTTATATTTTAAAGCAGTATTAATAATATCAATTTTAAAATTAAAAGGGAAAGTTGCTGAAATAATCTCCCGAAATAATATTTGCGCTGCATAAGACGATAATGATGATCCTGCTACATGCGTGTATAAATTTTGGAATGTATATGCATGCATAACTATATCGTAGGTAATTTTTTAAACGCTTGCACCGCAGCTTCGTTCCTCGGTTTTTTAATGCGATATCATTGTTGTGATAAAATATTACCGTTATAATATTTATGTTATAACATTACTCCACTTTAAATTTCGATTTAGGAAGCTCAGGGAAACACATGCAATGAATTAAAAAATAGCAAAATATGAGTTTTTACAAACCCAAACACCGAGATAAGGTTTCTGTCCATTTCCCATCATCACAACTAGCTCTCGATGCGCCAATTAACTGGTAACCATCACGGCACGAGAACTGAACGGTCGAACCATGTGTTTGATCTGTGCTGTTAATCACACCGTTAATGATTTTTCCCAAAGGTGGGCATGAACCTTTGTCGGAAAGATTGTATTTGCATGATTCATAAATATTGGTTTTAAAATTGAATCATGATATTAAATTGATAACTATCGCGATATCCCAACACCATTATCCTGCGAAAGCCAAAGTTGAACTGAAAAATTGTCTTTGTATTTTCTAAGCCTAACTTTGGGAGTGCGTAAAAACATTTTCACGCTTTTTTTAAAATGACATATAACCGTTTTATCAAATAGCATCTTTGCATGAAAAGTGCAAACATATATAAATTTCATTCTTTGCATGAAAAGTGCAAACATAAATTTGCTGTTTTTTGCGCAATTTCAAACAATTCCATGCAATTGTTTTCGCACTTTATTTATAGACTCAGATTCGAACTGAGAGACCGTACGAATTAGCGTGCTTCAGGCTATGAGTAAAAAAGCAATATGAAAATGGCTTCCGAAGCTAATCTTTATTCACTAACAACAGGAGCAAGCTTTAGCAAGATGGCAATCAAGCTAGGACTATTTTAAAAATGTCCCATTATGGACGTGTTTCAAAAATGCAATTTGCTGTTATATCTATAACCTATTATATAATATAGAAGTAACTGCATGAAATCGATCAACTTAAGGTGAGTTGATGTAGAAACCAAGTTTGTAGCGACAATTTTCAAATAAATCAAGCGTCTTTATTTCGGTGATATTTTTTCAGTCCTACATCAGTATTGGTTGAAATGTAAAAAGAACATTAATCAATTCTGAAAACAATCTAAAGCTTTGAAGAGAACTATGCAGACTTTAACTTTCATTAAATTATTTATGTTTACATTAAGCTATACCTTTGCACTGTGGTTCTAAGCCACTCCATCTTCCATTCCCTGTGCATCTTAAAACTTTCTCTCCAACCAACACATAGCCCTCATTGCAAACAAAACTTACTTCATCACCTTCTTCTTTTACATGGCCATTTTCAATGAATGAAATTTTTCTACAAATGCCTAAAATGAAAAGAATCAAATGAAGATTTTGCGTCAATCGTAACTCGCATACTTGAACAGTGATAAGCGCAGTAACGGTCTAAGCAGTGGCGGAGCTACGACGATAATTGGGGGGCTAATAATCATGTATAAATTATATTCATGCAGTTCTCCCCAGCGGATTTCGTTTGTAAGTGCAATAGCTTACAATAGAAATCCTTCGGGCAGAACTGAATATATGAATATTCAAATTATCGTTATAGTTACGTCCCTGTGTCTAAGCCTAAGGCGCTGATTATATGTGGGGTTAGATGAGATGTTTGCACGGGCAAGACCCATAATTTTTTCGTGTTCATATGAAAGTGGAACGTTTTTGTCTTGTCCCTTACGGACACCACAATGAGCGGAAGATTGTTTGCACCATAGGATTGCGATGCATGTCATTTTAAGTCTCGCTCAAAATAAACTGTTTAAGCTTAGATATAATGGTCCTAGTAGAATCTTACTTCGACATTTCCATGTTGCACACTCTCGACTTTCTGAAGCCGCGCCAGGACATCGCCGGTTGTCATTCTGTATTAAGTTTGTTCCCGTACATGTCCTTGTTCGCACTTGGGTTCCCGTATTACACGAAACAGTGCATTCGGACCATTCAGACCATCGCGACCAAGTGGCTGTGACTACAAAAAAAACAAACAAAATTGCATTATTAAACACAGCAAGTCATGTCTGAGAATCCAATTCTTGCCCTAAGCGGTGCTAAAGGTTATGTGAGTCGGTTTGACATAATACACCCCTATATTGGCATTTAAACCGCGAATTAGCCTTCTGTATGTATTTTACGTTGGCCGTATAAAAGCTCACTGCTTTGCTAAATACAACTGCAAGGACTGGAAACTAGGACATGCGCAGGAACACGAATGTTCGCGCGCTTCTGCTTGTCATGCTTTATCACTTTGTAAATACCGTGCTGTTCTTGTTGTTCAATAAATATTCATATTTATTGCGTCAGTTTACACTGGTGCCAGCATGGGATCAACGAAGATTGTTCTCCCAGACAAGAAGTTTTCTGGGGAGGAAGATGTCCGCGGGAGGAAGATATATCTAAAAAGGCCATTTGAAAGGATAATAAAAGGACAAAGGTAATGAGCATAGCAACCTAGAGAATCTTGTTCTAAGAGCAGTTGAGCAGAAAGTTGGAAATGATTAAAAAAACTGCAGTTGTAAAGAAAAAGCAGGTAAACGCGTGGGAGGGAAAGTGACACCTGGCCTCAAACCCACTGATATCTGTCGAGCATGTAAGGGACAAGGACACTGGGCCCGAAGCTGCCCGTCTTTAAACAAGAAAGAGGCTGGCCCAGAGTCCCGAACCCAACCTTAGGTAACCAGAGAGGGACCATCATGTACCCTTATCGAAGTCCAGGGGAACAAATGAAAGTCAACACAGTACAAAAGGTAAATAATAACAAGGTAAATCTGAACTTTCATAATCTCACATTGTTGACACGGCTAACGACTACCAGATGCAGGATGATCAACATCCAACTGTCTCTTCTATCCAGTCTGAGAATATTAATGTTTTGCAAGTGATTAGTATTGAAATAAGTGAAACTGACCTAAAGGCGCAGGAAAGAGAACAACTTGAAAAGCTTCTCATTTCTTACTCAGATGTTTTCTCCAAAAACAAACGAGACATGCAAGTTAAGGACAAAACATCACATACACCTGAAACCAGGTGCAGTGCCATTGAAACAACCATTACGCCGTATTCCATTTGCATACCAAAAAGAGGTTAAAAACGATTTGAGAAATATATTGAAAGATGGAATAATTGAAAAAAAATCGTGTTTCGAATGGACCAGCCCTTTGGTGAGCATCCTGTTTCACATCAATAGATATGGTATCTGGGTACCAACAAGTTGAAGTTGCGAAAGAGCACGGAGAAATAACGGCGTTTGTATCCCTATATGGACTATTTCAGTACTGTAGGATGCCCTATTGGCTGCCAGTGGCACCGGCAGCCTCTCAATCTGTTGTCAAGGACATGGTTCAAATATTGGAGACTGAGGATATCGTGGCCTATCTTGACGATGTTATTTGTTTCCACGAATCTTTTGACAAGCATTTGCAAGGAATTCAGAAATTGCTATAGATGGTAAGAAGAGCTGGTTTTAAGTTATCTCGAAAGAAATGCCAGTTTTCTAAGTGTTCCGTAAGATTTCTGGTTCATCTTATCGACAATGCTGGTGTTAAACCACTACCTGAGAAACTCGTATAATAAACTCGAAATAGCCGTTCCACTCCACAATTTCTATGGACAAAAGAATGCCGGGCTGCATTGACCTTCTGAAGGAATGATTATGTTCTTCAGTAACATTGAAACTCTCACAACGAGTTGGTCGTTTTTGAGTGATGCCTCAGATTATGCTGTTGGTTACTACCTCTAAAAACTACATAAAGCCGAAATGAACAACTCCACCACGGAGAAGGAGTGCTTGCATGGTAGTAGTTGAAGCACTGAAGCGTATCGTCTTTATGTTTTGGGGAATCAGGTCGATTATAGAATAATATGGATCGTAATAGATTCGGCAGCCACTCTGTTGTGTTTACGAACCTCCTCGGCTTCTGTGAAGTTTCAGTCAAAGATTAACGGAAAACTTAACGTTGAAAGTTTCGATCCAGCCAGTTTCGTTCCGATGTGACGCGGTCAAATGTTTCTTGCAAGTAAGTTTATGTTTTCCTGGTATATTTTTATCGTGGTAAAAATTTGCTATTCAACCGTTACAAAATCCATTGTAAGACTCTAAAACGACAGCCAACGAAAATACGAACACAGGAAATAAAGAATAGTGGGTATTGGGTTATTAACTGAAAAATAAAAATGTTTTCAATTGAGGTAAATAAAAAAATATAAAAAAAATTTTTCTTCTAGAACTTTCCTACAAACATGCTAGCCCCAGGCCTAAAGTGCATCACACATATTTCACGCGATTATCCGGCGTTTCTCCACCCTACCTTATAACCGCCCTGATGAAGCTGAACAAACCTTGGACGGGTCGATGGGAGGTAATTAAACGCCTAGGGGATGTATTATACCGAATAAAGTACGTGAGCTCCGGCAAGGTTGGACTGAAGCCAGTGGCGTAGCCAGAACGATAATTGGGGGGGGCCAATATTCATATATTCGTGATACGCAGGATTAATTTCTTTTCAAATCAATTGTCTTTACAGTTTGTTAACATGAATATATGAATATGGGCCCCCCCAATCATCGATGCTGGCTACGCCACTGACTGAAGCGAAGGATGTCCATCACAATCAGTTAAAAAGATTTTACGAGACCACAGGGTTGCATGTAGCTGAGGACGGTAATACAGTCGAGAACAAGAATGACGTTGTCATTGTAGACGGGCCAGATACCACCGACGAACGCGAGATACAACAGCGTCAAGACGAGGCAAAACTAGGACATGGGCAGGAACACGAATGTTCGCGCGCTTCTGTTTGTCACAGTGAAATGAAAATAACTGGAATGCTACCTTCTGACCGTATGTTGAAGTAGAAGCACTGAGCTAGGGAGCAGAGTCCCCCCAGTCTTTACACGCAAAAAGAGACACGGCCGAAAGAAAATGTTTTTTTGCGACTTCGTAAATTTGAGAAAAACTCCCCTAAAATTTTTTTAGGGAGTTAAATAACTGATTTTGTTAGTGCTTACAACCGGCTGAGACATTCTTGATGTTATTAGAATGCATTTTATGGACCTATTTTTGGAAATGCCGAGTAAGACGGTTCTTTCCCAGGAAAAAGCGTAGAGCCTAGCGTGACAATGCAGGAAGATTTGTTTTACTCTAAAATTAATACATTTTTTCCATCTAGTCACTTGGAATTAAATAAACATGAACTTACTTAATAAACAATGTCTATGAAGTGTATTTTGAGATAAAAACTTAGCTTTTAGGATATCAAAAAGGTGCAAATATTGTTGTCAAAATTGCACATCGCTATAAACTTGTTCCGTTTAAGATAATTTGTTCCCAATCCGATCGACAACTTCAGTCGTAATTCGTAAAACAGTTCACCTGGTTGAATTTTGGTTGAAAACACGGTTGGTTGAAAACACGCGTGTCTGGAGGTAAAGTCCCGCAAATTTTGGCTTCACGAAAACAGTCATAAGGTAGCGTTCCAGTTATTTATTACAGCTTTGTCATGCTTTATCGCTTTGCAAATATTGCGTGAGTTTACACATCGGCAATCTCATTTGCTTTCTTACATTTATAACACAGTTACTAGGCTCAAAAAATTCCACATACCAGCTCTCGTTATGAGAGTATTTAATCCAGCTGGGTAACCATGAGAATGATATGCAGCTTCCCCAAATACCAAGGCGCCAAATAACGCATCACGCGATCTGTGGGAAATTGTGCACTTGCTTGAAATTTGAAGAATTGTCCACGAAAGTTTAGTTCCTTCAATGTTTTGCCACTGGAGTGAAGTCGTGTTTCCTCCATTCACTAAGAGGCCCTCTTTCTCGGAGGATTTAGTGAGGAGAGTCACAGAATGTTGGAACCCGTTCTCTTTCGTCCAAGACAAATATACATTATACGTATCGAGGAAATGATCGATAGACGGCACGATAAGCAATGATGAATCAACTTCTGTACCTCGCGTTCTTAAATATCCCTTGATATATTGGACAACTTGGCAAGGCTTACCACACTCGAAGAATGCGGCCAACTTATCGCCTAAATCATATTCAGTAAACTGCCCCGATTGTAGCAGACGATATCCATCTTTATTGCGAACACGAGTATCGTTTTCATAAGCGAACACACGATAAATGTCTCCAGCATTCTTGTTCATCCGCCCTGTTGTCGCAACTACAAATTCTGTGCCCCAGTTCTGTACGGGAAGAAGGAATTCGATGAGATGATCGCAATACCGAGTGTTAACTTTAGCACATTTATCACCGGATAGAACCGCTATAGCCTTATTTGCTTCAATAATTGTCCCAGAAAGATCTGCATTATGATCAATGTGAAATGTTCCCAACCTATTCAATCTCAACATTATATTTTTTCCTTTCCTGTATAACTTTCGACCGTATCGAAGAACCCCGTCTGCATTGAGTTTGATACTGACAACTGTGTTGTCTTCAGTTGAAATTATCCCCAAATTTGTTTTTGCATAGGAAGCAACCACGTACTTGCGACCCAATTTTGTCGTAGGCAATGCAAGATAACTGTCAGAAGTAAATCGTGCCTGGCTTAAACAAGATACAGCCACATCCGCGGTAGATGTTACTAATATGCCCTTAATGTCTACCCTTGTTGAACGCATTCTTATCCATGTTGGCATCTTGTATTTGAAAACGTCCCCAGCTTTTATGAACTTGTTTCTGAGACGTGCACTTCTTGATTTGTGTAAAGAAATATTGACATATGTATCGACGAATGCAGATATTGATATTTCATTGAATCCACTGTAAAAAAAGGTCTCTTCATGAGCGGTGAATCCCAGGACAAAATGTTTTCCACGGTGTGTCGCACCTCCTGTGAAAGACAAAAGACTGATATATTTATCATTTATAGACCTGGAGTGAGGGGGATTCGGCGAAATATTTCCCGAGGTGATGATGTTTCCCGAGGGCTTTGCCCGAGAGAAGTATCATTACTGAGGGAAAAATTTTGCCGAATTCCCCAAGCGGAGGGTCTATAAATTATATATTATACCGAAAAATATTGTGAGCTTGTAGAATAGCCAAACATACCGTACAAAGTGTTACGCAAAGCTTTATTGTGTTTAGAGATATGCATATAAAAATAGCTGTAAAAATAGGAATATCAAGAGCATGACAGGGATTAGTGAATGATTTTTGCCACAAGACGCCTGAGTAAATATATTTTTCGGCCATTAGCAAACATTAATCGCCTTTCCCTTTCATGTATGACATATCGTGGGATTACTTAAATAAGTAATAAGAGGAAAATATTTATAATCCTCTCAGAACTAATACCTGGATAAACAGTCTTAAGTCGTCACTTATCTTAATGGTTGCATTCTTTAAAAAAGTGTGCGTGCTGTAGGCCATTCAAGTTCTTATGTCAATCAATTGTGTTAAAAATGTTGCTCGGTCAAGCATGTAATAGATTACGTCATCAAAAGTTCAATTCGATAAAATAAGAGTGAAAATAGTTTAAGTTGAAAGATATTGTTCACAGACGTATTGTTTGTAAATTTTACTAGTTGTTGATGATAAACATTTTAAGTTGTGAACATTTTTAAGTATTGATCGATTGAGCAGAAGACCAACTCGACTATAGTGCGACAACGCCTTAAACAAACAAGATATGAGAGCTGGAACGAGCTTCTAAGACCAACCCATATTTCTAACTTACAACGCTGATTGGTTGGATAAGGATCAGCCCACTCTGGTTGATGACGTCTGCAAGTTTCCCTCAACCGTTACTATAAAAGGGCGTGCACAACACCCCAACCTTCAGTGGACTAGCGGAGTAAAAAGCATGTGAAACGTTAGGAAGCTCAACCTGACGGAACAGACGACCAAAGACAAGAACGCAAAACGACGAAGATCAAGTGAAGAGTAGAGAATCCAGTAAAGAAACTGAACATTATTGAACTTTAGTAAAACCATTGTAAAGATCTCCTACCTCGCGTAAGAAGAAATAAAAACCATATAACAAAAGGTTCAGAATAGTATTTCTATAAATCAGTAAAAGTACTTGGGCATAAAAAACTCAGGCGAAAATAAAGGCGAAAAAAGTTACCGTATAACGTATTTTAACATTAGTCAACTTTTTTTTGGTTTTTTGTATTTCTCTCGTCGAGAATTATCTCGTCAGAACCCAGGTAGCCCAAAGGTATTTGTGTTTTAATCTAAAGCGTCCATCCAGTTTAATATCGCGGTCTCTGACGTAAACACCAATTGCTATATGTGTACTGAAAATATGCAACATAACTCACAAAAAAGCATCATAACAATAAAATTTGATGTTTTTAATTGCTCCCAAGTACATTTTCTTGTTGAAAACAACTCTAGAAATACGAAAAATTTAGCGATACTTTTCGTGTTGCTATGAATTTTTCGCTGTAAAGATGCGGGACGTTTTTTGCCTGATACTGGTTTTCGCTTCAAATGGCGAAGCAGCGACCTCATTGGCTTTTAAAATTGGCGAATACCAAGTCAATTATTCGTCAATTTTAAAAGCCAATGACACACCAATGAGGTCGCTGCTTCGCCATTTGAAGCGAAAACTAAATAAACTAAATAATAGAAGAATAATCTAAATCTGCTGTTGGAGATTTCGTTAGTTGAGTTATTGTTAGAGATCAGTTGTGCTACACGGATGTGACGTATGCATGTGTCACAGTCCATGGGGGGTAACGTGGTTAGTTTTTCGGACGAACAAAAACAATGTGTTGTGTTATCGTAGAATTGTGATTTGTGAATGTGAAAAACAAAAAATATACAAGTGAAATGTCGTATTGAAATCATGGGAGGCTTATTTACGACATAGTGGCACCTACCGAACGGGATTGTGATATATTTAAACGGGAAAGAGGGAAAACAAACGGCGAAACTACACGAGAAAAACAAATATAAAATATATCGACATGGAGAAACTGGTTTCGGAGCTCGCGAGTAAAGTCAAAGCACTGCGTTTTCGGGCCAGTAAAACTGATGAAATATTGGATAAAAACGAAAAGGAAGCTTGTGAGCGCCAGAAAACATCAATTCTAAGCATTTCTAAGATAGTTATTGAGCAGAAAGAGAACATCGAAGAGAAGAAATTTTTGAAAGGTGAAACCGAAGAACAAGTCGCCGAATGGGGCACAAATTTCGAAGTAGAACTGGCTAAAGCTGATGATTGTATACGAAAGTTAACTCAAAGAATTAAAGAAATCGATTTACGTGAAGAAGAAGCGAAAAGTATTATGACACATCGACAAAATATGAAATTCGAGCAAGAATTATTACAACAAAAGGCTACATTTGAGCAAAAGTTGAAAGACGAGCAAAATCAAGCGAGTGTAAACAACAAAATATCGGGCGCTAAACTACCCAAACTGCCTATAACTAAGTTTAACGGGAAATTTGAGTCGTGGCTGCCTTTCTGGGGAAAATTCAGATCGGAAATTGATTCGGCGAATCTACCAACATTAACGAAATTCGCGTATTTAAAAGAGCTTTTGGAAGAATCGATAAGAGCAGATATAGACGGACTTCCATTTACCGACGAAGGCTACTCAAAAGCGAAGGAGATTCTCGAAGCGGAGTACGGCCAAACCTCGGAAGTAGTCAATGCGTATGTTCAAAATATAATGAGCTTACCCGTGATCAGTGGAGCGAACCCAAAGAAAATAAACGATTTTTACAAGCAGCTGAGATTCAACGTGCAAAGTCTCGAAACGATGGGTAAACTCGCAGACGTGAAAGGTAATGTTCGATCAACTCTAGATAAGCTGAAAGGAATTAAATCTGATTTAGTTCGCGGAAGCGAAGGGTGGCAAGATTGGAGTTTCACCGATCTACTCGAGCAACTCAAGAATTGGCGCGATATTCATCCAATCGAGGAGAGTAATCAGAATATTGTCGAGAAATCTACCAGATCACCATATAAGCGATCACCCTTTTTCCACGCGCGAGATTCGGAACATGAGACATCTCCGCGCGTGTGCGTGTACTGCGAGGACGCCACGCACAAGAGCGTGGACTGCACGAAAGTGGTCTCAGTGGATAATAGGAAGAAAGTCTTGGCCCGAAAAGGACGGTGTTTTAACTGTACAGGTACGCAACATCAGGCAGCGGGTTGTAGAAGTAAATCTAGATGTAAGAAATGCAGTAGAAAGCATCATACCTCGATTTGTGGCGAACAGCCCCCAGCAGAGCAATTATTAACAGCACAACATAACAGTAACAGTACCATAGTATATCCTGTAGTGCTTGTTGATGTTGAGGGTATAAAGTGTCGGGCTCTACTCGATACGGGTGCCGGCAGCTCATACGCGTCTGCAGCACTTCTAGATAGGTTACCAAAACGTGAAAGCAAACGGGAAACAAGGAAAGTTGAAATGATGTTGGGGACTACTACGCGAGAGATGGAGCTACAAACAATCAATGTAAAGGCAAACTCCAGACAGTTTTCGATGGCAGTCGAAGTGACAAAAGTTGAAAAAGGGGAACTTGTTTCACTTGACAATCCAAAATACCAGCAACTTATCGAAAGTAACCCTCATCTCGAGGGAGTTGTGATGGAAGACACTGACTCTAAGGAACGATTACCGGTGCATATAATTTTGGGAGCCAGTGAGTATGCCAAACTGAAGACAAATACACCACCGAAAATCGGCACCCCTGGACAACCCATCGCAGAGCTAAGCAAATTTGGGTGGACCATTATGTCGCCAGGAAAAGAGTGCTTCAACGAAACTAACATGCTTCTCACACAAACTTCGCGAGTTGAGTATGAAGAGTTATGTCGCCAAGATGTGCTGGGACTACAAGATAAAGCTATGAACGACCAAAGCGGGGTATATGATGAATTCAAAGAACAGCTCACACGAAGTTCCGAGGGATGGTACGAGACAGGGCTGCCATGGAGGGCTAACCACCCTCCTTTACCTAACAACAAAAATGGTAGCGTACGTCGGCTACAGAGTTTGGTTCGGAAACTGAAGAGTCAACATCTAACAACCCAGTATGAAGAGATAATCGACGAACAACGTAAAACAGGTGTTGTTGAGCCAGCAGATCAACCAGCAGTTGGAACGGAGTTTTATATACCACATAAGCCTGTCGTACGTCCGACGGCTGAGTCAACCAAAGTTCGCGTGGTATATGACGCTTCAGCTCGAGCGCACGAAGGTGCCCCATCATTAAACGAGTGTTTACACACTGGACCCCCGCTTCAAAATAAACTTTGGAACGTTCTGGTAAGAGGCCGGTTTTATCCGGTTGCACTATGTGGTGATCTTCAAAAGGCATTCTTACAAGTCCGAATCAAAGCTAGCGACCGGGACGCATTACGTTTCCATTGGCAAGACGGTAACCAAGCAGAGGTAGTGACCTTGAGATTCACTAGGGCTCTTTTTGGTCTAACAGCATCCCCGTTCCTGCTTGGGGGAGTCATTGAAGCCCACTTATCCACTTGGGAAGATAGAGATGCAGAAACGGTTGCTAACCTTAAACGTGAGTTGTATGTGGACGATCTTATTTCCGGATCTGAAACTGTTGGCAAAGCATCAGAGCTCAAAGTGAAAGCATCTGAAATTTTCGAAGAAGCAGGGTTCCTACTACACAAGTGGCACTCCAATGCCGGAGAGCTTGAATCGGAACAAGACCCAGCGGTGGAAACTACCTATGCTAAACAACAATTGCATAAACCGTTGGGGGGAGCGTCTGTTCTCGGATTAAAATGGAACAAAGACTCAGATACTTTATCTGTTGTGTTTCCACAAGAAGAAACAGTAGCGACCAAGCGAGGGGTGTTGACAAAACTGGCCAAGATTTATCATCCTCTTGGCATTGCATCTCCAGCAACACTCGCAGGGAAATTACTTTATCGAGCTGCATGTGATCTGAAGAAACCCTGGGATGAACCGATTCCATACCCACTCCATAGACAATGGACCGATTGGGAGAATGCGCTTCCAGAGAATCTGGAGTTTCCAAGATCCTTGGCCGCCCACCATGAGCGAATCGACAGTATAGATCTCCACTCGTTCGGGGATGCCAGTGGCAGCGGACTTGCGGCATGTGTGTATGCTGTTGTGAGACAACCATCTGGCATCAATCAGGGTTTGGTTGCAGCAAGATCTCGATTAGCAAAGCCTCAAACGACGATCCCCAGGCTAGAGTTGCTAGCTGCGCACATGGCGGTTAACCTGGTGGAAAATGTGAAAGAAGCTATGAAGGGATTTCCACTGAATGAAACAACATGTTGGTCAGACAGCACAGTGGTCCTGTATTGGTTACAAGGAACTGAAACATACAAACAGTTCGTTGAAAACCGTGTAAGAAAGATCCGAGATCATGATGATGTTATGTGGCGGTATGTCCCGACCAATGACAACCCAGCGGACATGGGTAGTCGTGGAAATCAGCATAGTAAGCAAGACCTGTGGATGAACGGACCTACATGACTACAAGATCCGGGATCCTGGCCAACAAATATCATGCTAAGCCATCAGTTGAAAGCGAAGCTGAAACAAAACCTGTGAAAGACTTTGTAAATGTCGCTGTGATACAAAATAACGAAATAGACGATGTGCTTGCAAAATTTAATTTACAGAAGGCAATCCGAATATGCTCATGGATCCAACGTTTCATGAATAACGCATTACGAAGTCGAGAGACCGCTAGCATCGCGGGACCTTTGACCGCGACCGAGATGGAACGTCAGAGAGTATTGTTCATCAAACATGCACAAGAAAGTTCGACTAGTGAGGAAGACCGGGCTGCGCTAAACCTCAAATCCAACAAGATCGGTGTTCTAGAATTTCATGGTCGCGTTCAAGGGGAGTATCCCGCATTCATTTCGGACAATCATATACTTGCACAGAGAATCGTAGAAGAAGCCCACATGCTGTCCCTGCATGGTGGTATTGGTATGACAATGACCGAAGTGCGCAGAAGATACTGGATACCGAGGCTAAGACGACTCGTTAGGAAGGTTCGTAACCAGTGCTACGGTTGCAAGAGATTCAGGTTATGAGCATATGCAACACCAAGGACCGCGGTTCTACCCACTACTCGTACGCAGGGTACTAATCCATATCAAGTGATCGGGGTCGACTATGCTGGTCCCATACGATATCGCAAGAGAAACAGACGAGATGGGAAATCATATGTTTTACTGTATGCATGCAGTTTGACAAGGGGCATCTACATGGACCTTTTGCCGAGTTTAGAGCTAACAGAGTTTATTTTGAGTCTCAAGCGATTTATTGCACGAAGAGGGCGTCCTGAACGAATATATTCAGATAATGGCGGAACGTTCATTGGCGCCGCGAAGTGGATGAAAGCTGTGTGGGAGGATGAGCGAATACAAAATTTTTTATCCATCAACCAGATAACCTGGCAATTCAACTTGAGCCGCGCCCCGTGGTGGGGCGGGCAGTTTGAACGGATGATCGGTTTGGTTAAAGGAGCATTGAATAAAACAATCGGCAACGGTTTTCTAGCATGGAACGAGCTTGAGGAAGTGCTATTAGACGTGGAAGTGGCGTTAAACAATAGGCCCCTCAGATATGTGGAAGATGACGTACAACTCCCTGTTTTAACACCAAGTAGCATGCTTTATCTCAACAGCAGCATTGTACCTGTGCTTCAACCTCACCGAATTGAAAATCAAGATTTACGGAAACGTGCGAAGCATTTACGCAAGTGTAAAGAAGCCTTGTGGGGGCGCTGGAGCCAGGAATATCTCCGAAGTTTAAGAGAAAGGCATCGAAATTTAATCGGCTCGAAGGGAGACGTGCCAGCAGTGGGTGATGTGGTAATCCTCAAAACAGACGAAAGGAATCGTGGGAAATGGCCGTTGGGTATAATCGAGGAGCTCATCGCGGGAAAGGACGGTATTGTAAGGGTTGCAAAAGTTCGTGCAGGTAAAGGACAACTGGAAAGGGCAGTTCAACATTTGTTCCCGTTGGAACTGTCGTGTGATCGGAAAAGAAAACATAATCCAACCGAACTTAATCCAGAAGCAGAGATCTTTCGTCCAAAGCGACAGGCCGCGGTGGATGCAGGTCGACGAATTCGAGAGCTACTGAAATCCGAAGATGCGGACAATGTATACTAGGTTATGACCAAAGGTCGAACAAAACAGTTGGAACAAAAAAACAACAACAAACTATAATCCTAAAATCTCCAGGAACAGAACAAATATATCTTCTCCGAATTTATATTGGGGGAGGGTGTTGGAGATTTCGTTAGTTGAGTTATTGTTAGAGATCAGTTGTGCTACACGGATGTGACGTATGCATGTGTCACAGTCCATGGGGGGTAACGTGGTTAGTTTTTCGGACGAACAAAAACAATGTGTTGTGTTATCGTAGAATTGTGATTTGTGAATGTGAAAAACAAAAAATATACAAGTGAAATGTCGTATTGAAATCATGGGAGGCTTATTTACGACACTGCCGCCTTATATAACACGACAGCTGAAATGTCTAATAAATGTCGAAATCGTGCATAAACCTAAAAGCGCGGCCATCGAATGCAGCAAACAGGTATAATTTCATCAAGTACCCACAGACTTAATACGGGAAACTGTTAGCTCTCTCCCCCAGTGCAATAAAACAATGCGAGTAAACGGCCAAGAAGAGTTTACGGGTGAGCACCAGAACCAACAACAAAATCCTAAAACGGGTGTAATCGGTTCGGATATCATTGTCATTAGTGACTCGTTAATAAAAAATATTCAACCAAGGGAGCTCAGTAGGAAGAAGGTATATAAGTGTACATTTCCAGGAAAATCAGCCGATGAAATCGAAAGGGAGATCAATTTTGATCGTTTAAAATCCAATGTAATTGTGCATGCAGGGACGAACAATCTCCATCTATAATCTGCTATTGAATATGCTCAGAAATTGCTTGCTGTAAAAGTAAAATCACTATTCCCATACTCAAAAATCGTTCTTTGTCAAGAATTACGTCACAACTCGATGCTGCTATGCCTAATAATTAAGATTGATGAGGTCAATAAGGAACCTCAGAATATTTGTTCAAAATTGGACATCTTATTTATTGACAATACGACTATAGATGACACTTGCTGTTAAATGGCAGTTGCTCCATTTGAACGCGAAGGGCTCGGCCCTTCCAGCAGTCCACTTCATTAAATTTCTCAAGGGGGGCAGTGCATCAACTCCTCCAAGAAAGCGAAGACAAGACTATGAGGATTTTCAGTTATCAGTACTTCAGAAACTTTGGGATCTGTTGAAGATAATTGTCCCACTAGACAAAAGCACCCGCATCCGCAGAAGAAAACAACATTTGATTTAATTCATTGCCGGACTCTACCAAATGGCCTATAAACCAAATGGTAAACGGTGTAACTCCATTACAAGGTAACTTTAATAATTTATTTAACGATTTACGATAGGGTGCTTGAATATTAACAGCCTGTTGAAAAACATTGAACAGCTTCGTTTGATCACGCAAAACATGCCAATCGATATTCTTGCTCTAAATGAGACGAATTTCTTCGCTGACAGATCCTAGCCCTACTAATTATCCCCCATCAGATCTTCTTTTCAAATTTTCTGAAATTAATGAGGAGGAAGTAATACATCCATTGCGTATAATCTCAAAATCCACAGGACTACATCAATATTCCTGCCAAAGCTTTAAAAATATCTGTCGGACATTCTCTCGATCAAAAAAGGCCATGTTGAAGACCAATATAAATATATGACTTAGATGTGCGATGCTCTTTACGAAAATATGGACAATGGTCTATTGAGCGGCATTGTTTTTTCTTGATATTCGTAAAGCCTTCAACTCACTTGATCATAATATTTTGCTTCATGAATTAAAAGACAATTTGGCCGGAATATCGGACACTGAGTTGAAATGGTCTGAGTCTTACTTAACCACCAGGGAAAAAGTCTGTATTGTCAATAATATAATGTCATCGTCAAAAAGCATTGTTTCAGGGGTTCCGCAGGGACCTATGAATTTTTAGATCCGCTGTTATATTTACTTTATATCAATGACCTAACCGATTGCCTTCTGAAAACGACTGCTTACCTGTATGCTGATGCTACCCAAATTTGTTGTAGCTGTATAAGTTTGTCTGAATTAACTGAAAACCTTAGTCACGAATTGAATGGAATTAGTGAATGGCTTTCTAGAAATAAATTACAACGCCATCCAACTAAGATCAAAGTAATGCTTATTGGCTCTAAATATCGTATCCATTCAATTACCGCTGATTATCTACTTATATTAAATAACCAACGGATCTCCAGAGTTTGCTCTTTTAGATGTCTTGGGCTAGAACTTGACGAAAATCTTACCTGGAATCCATATATTGAGGCGATTTTCGAAAAGGTTGGTGCAGGCCTGGGTCAGTACTTTGACAGCCTTCCTTCAAACAATTTACCGGGCTCCGGATTCAGCTGCACTTCCACTATTGTTCTCCTATTTGGGATGTCTGTGATCAAAACTTTAGGGGAAAACTCCAAAAATTTTAAAATCATGAAGCCCGAATCACAGTCGGTGCGAGTTACGACATTTAGATCTGCTGATGTTCTAAACTATGGAATAGCCCCCTTATCGACACCAAACTGGCTGAGTCAATTCACGTATTCAAGAGGCACTTAAAACTTAACTCTAAGGCAATGAATACTTGAGAATCATATTGTAACATCTTCCAACCATGATATCTGAGGTCACAGCAACTTGTAAATAATCTTTACTTTCTTAAAACGTTTTGTAATTTTTAATCTTGTAGACGTCCCCCGTGGACACCAACGTATTGTTGCCGGGGCTAGTGTGTAGTGTCTTTAAATAAAGTTATACATACATACATATATACATTTTCCCAATATTTCATGGAAAATAATCACATGCGGCGCACGTGGACATGCGATCTTTTGTCGACATTCCATTGGAAATTATATCTTTTATGAAAAAATATTTCGTTGTTTACTTTGTTGTTAGTTTTTCTTTGACAAGTGGTATACAATAAAAAACTCGGCTTCGCCCCGTGAAATATCGACTTGTCACGGGTCCACGACGCGGTTAGCTCGACATCGCTATATAGTCAATTATTTTGCTAGAAATCAGCTACGGGGAATTAATTAGCTAGCCGCGTCGTGAATCGTAAATTTCGTAATATGACTTTCCTTCGGTCGCCGTAAAGAAGTGTTAATAATGGTTATGAAACATTTCCCTATGCGCTTCCACCCTAAAGGTGCTACCGATATCAAGTTTCTCGAAATTAAAAATTTAAAGACTTATATATATTACACATTACATTCCAATTAATTCCTATTCAGTAATATAAATTTTGTCGCCCTTGAATTTGGGCCAGTGTATTCTACTACTAGGTTTGACCAACAAAACACTTCTGATTAATCTTTAGACGTTACGGAATATAATAGATTACCATTATGATTGTCAGTTCAAGACTTCGACCTATACACAAGAGTACACAAGAAATTGCACCTTTTACAACAATAGTTCCTAGTTCTAGTGATCTTAGCTGTGATACTTAGCTGTGATTCACTTTCGTTCGAACTGTGAAGATTTCTGGCACATATTTCCAGTAGATACCAAAGTACACAAGTTTCGCGCACTCTGACCTGACAAATATGGTAGCTTACTAATCTTGGTGCACTTTTCTTGTTGTGGGGAAATTGCCTCTAACCTCATTATTAGCATGATTATGTTTTTATTTGGACGGTATAGTTAAATAATTTTAAAGTAATTTGAAATATAGTGTCGCTTGTGCTTTTTTATATTGTGTTTATTATAGATCTGTACATGAAAACGAATTCCGATTTGCTGTAAACAATGTAAGTATTTTTGTCCATTGTCCAGTACCCCGTCCACCAATCCCGTGGTTAACGCCTATATACCTGGCGTCTTGTTTAATTATAAATAAAACGTTTGAAACTTACGATTCGATTCAGTCGCTGCAATAGCTAGCTGCCAATTAAAGAACATGAGAACAACTGCAACAGATACGATTCTGAATGACAAACAGATCGCCATTTGGAGGATGCAGTTATACCTGAACCATGAAGAGTTTACAGACCAGGTGTAGGACTTGATCCTTTCAAAGCAAAATTTTGCTAAATATGTCGTTTTGAAGTCGTGCATGAATTTATAATATCGGAAATTTGATACAGAATGATGTAAAGAAGTTTTGATTGGATGGCAACGTAATATGTTAGTTTCACCAGCTGTCTATAAACATGCTTGTTTTTCACAATTTTCAATTCGGAGCCGATTGTTTATTAATGATTGATGATGAGAGAATAAATTTATTGATAGCTTGCTGCCGGTAGCAGGATATTGTTTAAAATATTTTCGTGTTTACGCACTGCCATATAAAATTAGCCACATTCATGTTTTTCTTGGCAGAATATTTTCTAAATATTTTCTAAATATTTTTCTTGGCAGAATATTTTCCCGTTTTCGTAACAAATAATAATCTCATTGACATTATTTAATCTCATTATCTATTGTAGTTAGAAAATATGGAGAAAACAACTTAGAAATTACTGAGGAATTTAATTGCCGGAAATCATCATTTTCAAAAACAGGAACTTTCGCATGAACTTAAATTTTGGTTCAAACCCCCGTTTCAGCAAACTATGTTATTGTCTAGGTTTATGCAAAAAATGGTTCCTTTCTCGTCACGTGTCTATTGTATTTTAGCCAAACGTACCAATGGCATTCGTCTTGCTACGTTCCTCAACCTTGACTTGAAATATATGTTAATTATAAGATTGGTATTGGCTTATCTGCGTAAAATACAATAGGCATGCACGTGATGCGAAAGGAATAATTTTTTGCATAAATCTACCTCAACATAGTTAATGAGTTGTATTGTAGTTTTATGTGGTCTGCGAACCATGTATATTCTATCAACTTTGATATAGCCGACTGTCTATCCTGGCTGTCACCAAGCTAATTATTAATTATAGTTGCACGCCTCTTTTAATTAAAGCGCATTTCATGCAATGCTCTGATGAGAGCACTTTTATAAGGTTTAAGAGATATGACTAGATATATGTCTTATATTAGTTTATCACCAGCTCACGGCATAAACATGCATGTCTTTCTTGCCGATAACCCAGAAATTAGACTAGTACTCTACGCAATGGGGTACTAATTATTGACATAGAAAACAAAGACAATATTTTGCTGTTTTGGGGACTTTTATTGAAACAGAAATTCTGCATAAATCCAAAAGAATTTGTAACCAAAGGCTGGATTTTCAATACGATTCAAGGATTCAGCTTTATAATATAGCTATACTTCAACTGTCACTTTTTAATTTTTACCCACCTAGCAGGGAAGAGGTGTTACGAGACATTATATAGTCTTGTGTATAGACAATCACTGAATATGCTTTGCTGCATGGTATCATCAGAAATAGGCGAATTATCATACAGTAATATATTAAGGTAAGGCAAAAAATAATACGTAATTTCGTGCTTACTTATACTGACACAGTGGCATGCAGTAAGCACCATAGCACTAAGGGAGGAAATATTATTAAAAAAGAAATTGGCACAGCTTAAGGACGTCATTGTGTAACCCGTACCATCTGTAAGCTGCTAATCCATCTCGTTTTGATGGACTTTCTGGGAGTGATAATTTACTTTCCTAAATGTCATTGTGTTTTTCAAATCAAATTGCAATCTCCCTTTACGTAATATGAAACCAAATCTCGTTTCAGCCGAAGTCGCGTACACACTCAAGTTCTTGCGTAAAAATTATGCTCCGTCGCCACGCAGGTGGAAAACGAACATTCTTTACTACAGGCGGCGAGTCATTATGTGTATTCATTGAAGGAGAAAACAGTTTATATAATTTGACCACAAAATCAAAGGTAAAATATAGACAAACAGGAAATGACTTTGGAACAATAACAGCATAAGCCAAATGCGCGTAACGTGTAATTCCCTGCCATGCACAAATAAATATTGACACTGCAAAGGAATACTCATTATAGTCGAGGTGATGGCGGGTTATAACTAGAAGAATCACTTATGTCGAAAAAGAATAACCAGCGAAAACAATCGCGGTGTAAAACTCTTTTCTTTATTTTAAATAACTTTACCAATCAACTGATAAATTATTGAGATATACACCCTAACATTAGTATGAAGACCTTGGCACAGAAAGTGCAAAAACTTGGCACAGAAACTCTCTAGCTGGCGCCAATAAGAGATGACTGATATATGTAAGCATTTGTGGAAGGAGAAAATTACAAGGAAATAGGTTTTTCAACTTGTCCTGATAAAATTTTATTGATCGCAAGCTGATTGTACATGACAGATTTATATTAGGCAAATAGTTTACTACAATCCTGGTCAAAACATTGACGACACTCAGTGTTAATTGCCACTACAGTCAGTAGTCACGGAATATATTTCAAAATTCTCCCCCTTTCCCCCACAAATCAATGTTGGGTGATGTGTCAGAACTCATTCAAGTATTTAGCATGGACTCAACATTGATTAGGGGGGCGAGGGGGGAAATCGAGACAGAAATGTTGATGTTTTGCATAAAAAACTACAAATCATTTTGATTTTGGTTTTGGCCAGGATTGTAGCTATGAATGACTGCAGATGTACACATCTCTAGACTCTATTGGGAACTCTGCTATATAGGCATATCTCATAAAATCAATGAAAAATTCTGAAATATCCTTTTGCCGACACACGATGATCGTTGTTGATTCAGTCGAAAATTGATTTTTTTTAAAATTCTTCATTAAGTTTTAGTGAAAGATTGGTAACATATTTCAGTATTTTTATATCAATGTTGACCTTTAAGACCTTATAAGCTTTTAGTGCCGAGTGAGTAGTCTTATATCATTTGGCTCAAAACAAGTCAAGTCTACTAAACATAAATCAACTTCAACAGGGGTGCAAACGGTTAGCCCCATGTTAATAACAATTATCACTTAAGTGGTGATACGAATTAGAATCAATGAGAGCACAATATGCCCGATTGATATATTTTCTCGTGTCATAGGGTAGTGTAGTATCAACGGGAATGAAATACGATGACCTGAAACGACCGCTTTCGGTAATCTAATTTAAGGATAAAAATTTCCTTCTCTCTCTTGTCGAGCAAGAAAACAGTCCACCCCCACCAAATCACTCAGAGAATAGACTTCGTGTTCAGCATACAGAATCTAGCTCTATTTGAAAAAATTGTTTGCGAGCTAAAATTTAAAGACTTCGTCCTATGTGAATTGTAATACCTGCGCAAGTGTTTATTGCTTGCGATGCGTAGCATAGCAAGCTTTAGATCCGGTATTTTATTTTTTTTTTAATCGGGTTCTAGATAGTAGACCTCCGCGCGGCCAGCGCATAATTACCAGCAGCTAGGCAATTAGTATGCACGCTTGGCAGTCGTCCGCTATTCAGAAAGTTTCGTAGTTTACTTCAAAACATCACGCTATTATCATTCATTACTGTATAAAACACTCCTACTCTTGTTTTAAATAGTATATAATTGAAAAATATTTGCCAAATGCAGAATCTACAGCAATCCATGTGATTGCCCAGTGAATGCCAGTTGTGTCTAGCCGCCTCCGCAGGCATCTCTAGTAATAGGAAATGTAGGCATTCCTCCTCGACATTCACAGCACAATTCACAGGTAATTTACACTGCAGGCCTGCTTTCAGCGCGCAGCATCGCAAGCTTACGCCTAAATAGGCGTCTTGCTTGTTTTGATATGAGTACCCTATTTAGAATCGATCGCGAAGCAATTATAGATGGCGGGTATTTCAAGCGGAGTTGTTTTTATCAGCGCGGTCGTCATCCGACAAAAATAATAGAAATGGACTGGCACTAATCCAGCATTTTTACCTCAATTCGAGTTGAGTTGCAATTATCATTCCAGCATACTTAGAAATCACTCTAATTTCTAAATTTTATAAACTTCAAATCTCATGTCACACTCATTCGTGCGTTAAGCAGCTCATTCCACCAAATCATGCACGTTTCTACTCGTGAAAACACCCGTCCGTTTTCTACAAACGTTTTATGCTGAATGTGTTCAAAGGACTAAACTACTTGTATTGAGTAAAATAATTTTGCTTACAAAGCACAATGACCAACAATAAACGACTGTCACAGAAAAAGGTTATAAAGAAACTTCATGATGAAATCCTCTTTAAACACAATATTTTTTTCCAATAACGCTACCGACCTTCAAAATAGCAATGCATTTTTTACGTACAGTTGATTAGCTACATCTGTCATCTTTTTCATTTACAATAATCACATGATCGCGGTCAAACTTGGATCTCTTTCTAACTCCCTTGAAGCCTTCCCAAAAGCCTCCTTGATCATGTAAGAAACACTGATCTGGTAAACTGCTTTAGTAACGTTGCCACGCTGATAAGGATCTTCTATTCTTATTTGAGGTTTTCTCCATGTGCCTTCACTATAGTTACTTAATGGGATATAATCCCCAGTGCGAATTGAGATGACATTCTCCCAAGAAAAATTTGAGTAAAATTTGAAAAATCCAACAAGTAACTCCCCTAACGTCTGGGTATTTCGTGACGAATAACTTCGCACATCGTAAGGGACGCTATCTTTTTTCGTGTTTGAAAGCTTTTCAGCAACTGAAAGGACTGACGAACTGCTAGCAAAAAAACGGGGAAATGTTGCTTGCAAAGAAGGTATAACAGGGTCAGTGCATCCTTTCTGGAGGTAATGGAGAATAAGCAGGATCACAGCAAATCCTAATAAAGAACAGATAGAAAGATTGTGGTTAAATTGCTTCTATACTTTCTGTAGTCTAGTATAGTGGTTACACATGATCCTTACACGCGCGAGGTCCCCATGCAGCAATGATAGAAAAAAATAGATTAAGTGTTACTTTTTTACAAAACTAAATAAGATATTCGATACAAAAATCAAGGAACCATAGGAATTTGAAAAAAAGAATCATAATAAGCAAATAGATTGCAGCCAGGCACGATTTTCGCATTTCCGCAGTGCATTACGTCTGGTGCCTGCAAAGACGATACGATCATGGACTTAGTCCGGAAGCTCTTCCTTGTGGCAGCCAGGCACGATTTTCGCATTTCCGCAGTGCATTCACTTGGTAAAGAAAATTCAATCGCTGATGCTTTATCTCGATTCCACTTTCAGGAGTTCTTCCGCCTGGCCCCCGAAGCGCACAAAGTCCCTCGTTCGATTCCATCAGAGTTGCAAGCGAAACTGCCCTCAAATCTTTGAAAGAAAAAGCTACCGCCCTGCTTATCAACGGCTTAGCGGCGGGCAGTTTCACGAGTCGGGTTCTCCTCTCCCAGCGAGCGAGTGGACCTTAATCCTGTTTGTAACCGCGCTGTCTTCCTCCCTCAAGGCGAGCTCGATAAAGGTGTATCTGTCAGGAGTTCGTTCCTTACATGTGGAAAGCGGCTTCGGGAATCCTCTCTCTAATTGTCCCCGATTAGAACAGGTTCTTTGCGGGATAAAACGTACTCAAGGTCTCGCCAGTCGGCCGCGTTTACCGATAACAGCCTCCATTCTTCGTCGGATATACTCGCTGCTTGACCTGCGCAACTACCGGGACGCATTGTTCTGGGCGGCGTGCTGTACAGGGTTCCTCGGTTTTCTGCGTTCGGGCGAGTTTACCACGACCGGTACCCACGACCCTACAGTCCATTTGTCGTTGTCGGACATATCGGTGGACCAGCGAGTGAATCCGTCGGTTCTGTTTCTACGCATCAAAGCTTCAAAAACGGATCAATTTCGTAGAGGACATACACTGCGACTGGGCCGTACGAACACTCCGATCTGTGCCGTGCAGGCCGTGGTCCACTTCCTCCAGCTCCGTGGCAGCTCTCCAGGCCCCCTTTTCGTGCTCGAGAACGGCACTCCTCTATCCCGAAATCACCTCGTCTCGTGGACGCGCGATGCTCTCGCGCGCCTAGGTTTGGAGGGCAATTTTTCGGGCCACAGCTTCCGCATTGGTGCGGCGACTACAGCCGCTATGGTCGGCGTTCTGGACCATCTGATTAAGACGACGGGCAGGTGGCTAAGCGACGCGTACCAAGTGTACATTAGAACTCCGCCGAGTGTAATTGACAGCGTACCAGCTCCTCTCGTTGCGTAGACTATAGTTTTCGACAAAGAAAAAAGAAAAACAAAACGAAACAAAAAAAACAAAAAAACAACGTGTATATAAGTTTGGTTGTCAGTCACAATAAAAGATCTTGGGGTTTCTCGCTTTTCCTCATTCTGTCCGGTCCGCCTGCTTATCAATCCAGTGCCATTGGGACGGGACGGGTATGTCAGTTATCACACTTATACATGCGGTGCTTTCCCCACCTCGGGAAGGTCAGCCCAGAGGATGGGCGAGGACGAACGTTGTGCTGCCATTCCAGCTGGGAACAACGTCCAGAGCAACACAGTGCAGGCATTGCCTTACCACGCAGTGTGGTGAGAAGTGCAGCGTCTTTGGGTTAAGGTTGTGCTACCATGTCGGCTAGTAACAACATCCGCTGCACAGTTGGCACAATCGTGATAACGATCACCGTTTTTACTAGCTCGCCCCTGCATGAAGAAGGCTGAGTAAGGGGTAGTTACTTGGAGGGGTAATGTTTCACATCACCCTGCGTGCTCAGCTTAAGATACCGTAGGGATCTCAACCTGGCTCTAAGTAACAGCGCTCGTTCCAAGCCACCCCTCCGCGAGCGACGAGCTAACACCTAACCATCCAATCGGGTAAGTAAGGTGGACGAAGGTGTTAACTAGCAAGCCTATAGGAGAGTTTGGTGGTCGGTACCATGTTGAGATCAAAAATGTTTCATTTTATATTTGTTAATTTCAACAGTAAGAATCAAGTCAACAGTGAAGTCTGGTCCGAAAATTAATAGTATTTCTTATGTAGGAACCAACGCCACCGCCAAATCTATTCCTATTCCTCGATACCCAGGTGTAACCTTCAATTAAGTCCATGGGTACATTAGGGTCGAGTTTGGTTTCGTTGATCGCTAGGATATCAATTTGCTGATTACGCATGGATGCTCTTAATTCATCTATATGTTTTAGTAAACTGTTTATGTTAAGACTTGCAATTTTGAGACCACGTATATTGGGCACCAAATTTTCAGCCTTTATTGCATTAAAGAATTTTTATGACAAAAGCGTTCTGTCTGCCTATGTGCGTGTTTCCGGTTCAAGACAGTATGGCAAAAATAAATATAAATATAAAAATAAAAGCTGAGCGTAGCAGCGTTATCTTTATCCACTTTTACGTTGTATTATAGGAGATCAAATAGCGGAGCGGAAACGCTTTCGATGGGTTTCTTAGCAGTAGAAATTTTGGATGAAGACGTTTCAGAAGTCGCCAAGTCTCTACGCAATAATCAATATATTTATGCGAACGTAGATGGGAAAACACAGTCTGAAGCCGGTTTTCCACTAGCGATAATTTTCGCGCGAAACGACATTTTACTTTTGTTTCAGAGCTCTCAACTGCAACCATCTGGAACGAATTGCTCAAATACAAAGGAATACATTCTCCTCGCGCGAAAAATATCGTTAGTGGAAAACAGGCATGAGATAAACAATTAAGGCTTAAGAAACACTTATATGCTCTCTAAATTGGATTAGATTTACCACATAATGAAAGAATACAATGCTTGCTATCATCGCCCAGGGGATATTTCAGATGCTCTGGACAATTGCCGCAACAAAGACATTTTACATTGCGTCCCTTTATTTTCTGCATGCACGCAATGCAAAGGAGTCCTACTCCTTGTGTTTATTTATTTAAGTGTTTATGAATATGCACCACGTCCCAATTAAGAGGTAGATGGGGCTATACGGCCCTGCATTGATAATTCCGGGTTTAATTACGGAAACAGCAAATGAAATCACCCAAATTTTTATTCGTCATTTAACAAATAGCTGTCTAGAATTTGGGAAATTTTGACCATGAAAATTGAAACATGAAATGTGAACTAAGTTTTAGAAAGCCTGTAGGGTTACTTTCAAATGTGATTTAAAATTTGCCGCTTCCGGTTAACGGTTTGTCGTTAACTTCAATCTTAAGGCCGACATGCACAGACCGGACGCGATGCGGCAACGCGACGCGAATTTTGAGTTTTCAGAATTATATAAATTAAATCTTGGAAGTAAAATTTGGAAATTATGGACGCTAGAGGAGTCAAAATGCTTTATTGTTATGTAATCTACAAGAATATTATGATAGTTTAAAATTTATTTGATTTTGAAAAATTAAAAACGTTGAAAATTTGCGTTGCCAATTCGCGTCCGGTCTGTGTCGACCTTTAAGGTCTCTATTTTTTTAGGTATACATTACGATGAGTGATATTCAATTTTATCTTCTTATGTGCGTAAAACGTATATAAAGCCTATAAATATTTCAAACGGTTGTGGTTATAGCTAAATCTACATGTAATGTAATCTGCCTGTATGCATACATATGAACCGTCTGGCAAAAACTTTATCTTAGCAGCTTCTGCAGCCATTATTATTTGGGTTTAAAACCCAACACCACCCCTACTAGCGACGATTCTGGCCTTATTTATGGTTATTAAATTTTTTTGTTATTATAGAACTTACGCTAAAAATATAAAAAGACGACCAATGGAAATAAATTATGAACAAAAATGATCGTGTTCACAATGTGTCCTTGATGTCTAGGTATGTTGCTGTATAATTATACAGTTATAGTAGCTACAACTATCTAAACAGTAATCTTTCGTATGTCAATCCTTCCAGAAATATCACTTGGAATTCGCCATTCTCTCGTCACTAATAATTGAAACATATACATATTAGTTACTAACTACTAGGTTTTTTTAATTCGGAGAGGTCTGGCACATTTAAAACTAATAATTTATTAAACCATTTCAGAATGGTTTTGCACTTTTAAAAAAATCCGGAGTGCATTTAACCCTGAGCAATCTTCTTCAAACAATGCAGACAAACAGGATTTTGAGGAAAACATTCGGATTTCTTGCCTTTCACGTGACGTGCAGTTTTAAATCAGATTCTGGAAGAGATGAACTTTGCGAAACTTGCTAAATAATAATGTGCTTGCTAATATTCTTCTTTCTAACTCTTTTATCAAATTGAAAAGGTTGTTTAACTTTGTATTCCCCATCATGCCTTTAATATTATTGAATTTGTCATATCGGCACCAAACTTATAAACTAACCCATCTCCCTGCATTATTACTATAATCAAGTTCTATTTAAGTGTAGATACGTCGCAAACAAGGCATCCAAGTGATCTCAAATAGCGGGAAAAGACCGGGGATGGTTGGCGAATAAGAATCCATGATTGGGCTAAAATATACAATTAATTTTAGTATTAAAATTATGTCAGAGTTATTATGTCTATAGTTCTTTTAACTAACATACTGATAACAAAGTTCCGACTGGTTTCTTAAAGATGATGTAAAGTCCGTTCTGCGCATACATTCTGCGCAGCAACACATTCCATCAGTGGGGGAGCAATTTGGGAATATTAATGATATGCGATATTAGCGCGTTGTATTACAAATGGGGGATAGTTCGGGGGCACAATTATTTTATGTCGAAAGGTGAAGAGGCTCTAATTGCGATTGACGAAGATAAGGCTGCTGGAAAGAAGCAATATTATGCTTAGAGGAATGCTTCAAGAATTTATTTGTTGAATGAGATGGCGCGACGCTATTTGTCGTCGCTACTTTCTCGCTTGTTCTACAATTACAAATATGTAAAGTCTTAAATAACGGTTTATTTACAGGCTTCGCTTTATATTTTCTTCAAAATATAATATAAAATAAGCATATTTATCACAGCCGGTCGAGCGAGAACGAGAAGAATATAGGAAATTAAAACGGCATTACGTCATGTAAAGATTATATAACAAACGTAAACAAACTTTGTTAAGCGCAGAATACATGCGCAGAACGGAATTTACATCATCTTTAAAGCATAACAAAAAATAATCGATTAAAATACTGCGGAATTAATGGATTTTTATTTCGTCAAGCCTTCGGAACACTGATTAGATAAAATATGAGCACGCGAGATCAATAGCATGATGTTGAAAGAAAAAGGTAAAAAAACTTACGCGTACAGTGGATGATTTGGAGCGATGCATTTTTTTGTAGTTGGCCGGATCCATGTATATCTCTATAAATATTAATGTTACGGAAATGCGTTATGGTACTAAGTAATGGATACTCCCTTTCCCGAACCGATCCTCGATTTATATAGTGACATAATTATGTCACTTTCTTTCCCGACGTTGTGGAAAGGTTAGATTTTGGAATGACAACAAAACTTTATTTTCAAAATATACTTTTGGGTTTCATGTGGATGTATATATGATTAAAAAATATGAATATAGTGAATGGGGTTTAGTGGGATTATCGATTAATTTAAACGACATTATGTAGCGAAAAAAATGGCTTAGTTCGGTTTCAAGTATATAATTACAGCATTGTAAACTCCGGTGGCGTCGTGGCGAACGCAACAGTAAATTAGGTATAGCCAACATTTTTTCCGATTGTGATATTTCCGATTGTGGCAGACTTCCAGATTGGTTTCCGCGATCGACTACCGAAATGGCATAGTCAGTCCTTGAAATTTTGTTTATTCTGTATTATTTGCTGCAAAACTACTGAGCCAGACGCTTGAGTGCATGGCGTTGCCAAAGTTTTATTTTAGGGGTTGGAACACTTTTAGGCGGGGAGTTTTCTCGATACCCCTCCCTAAAATGTTAGAACGGTAGATGCGAGTTTCCGTGTGACGTTTCTCGACGTAAATATAATATATTACCCAGGTCACCCACATGCAATAGATGAGGTGCTATATTTTTAGGATACCTCATCTGTTGTGGGTGACCTAGGGACTTCCATTGCGAAACAAACACATACGAACACATTTAAAATATAGACACAAACAAAGCAGAGTCGTATTCTGCATCCCAAACATTTGTTAATGAAGTATACCACCCCAATATCTCGGTCTTTAAGATAACATGATCCGAGGACTATATATATTTCCTACCTCAAGAAAAGGAAATTCGGCAGTCTGGAGGGTCACTGAAAACGTAGGGTCGAGTGCAACTTGTGCAACCATGCAGATGAAATTAAAACCCGCTTTGCCAATCATGCACTCGATTATATACACGATCATAAAATAGTTTAATAGAAAGAATTTTAGGGCATTCCAAATAACTCCTCTTACACTTTTTCGAGATTACATTTTTGAGCAGTAAAAAACATACCATCATCATTAAAAGTCACTTCCGTCAAATCGGAATTCAATGCTAAAAACGTTGGTCTTTGATTTTTCTTTTTCATGGTCGACTCGATGATCTTTTGAATAACATCAGGCATTTTTGGATGAAGTTCAAGTTTTTTACCGTTGAGGACCTTCAGAAAAAAGCACATTAGTTTTTATGCATTTTTGTTCACTGCATGTAGCCTGGTGAAGGGATGGCAAAACCTTATGCGCAGACCTGTGACATTTTTCATGCAGTACTGGGTTCCTTCACCCTAACAACCACTTGTAGTTATATGGGTTTAATACGGCACTATATTAAATAATGTAATTATCAAATACGGCACTATATCGATCCCGTAACTAATTTCTTCATCAACTGTTATATATGATGCTAATTAGGGCTATTGACATATTTGAACGCACTTACATATCCTCGAACATCATCGTCACGTTCCAAAGACCTGCCGCTTGGCATATTGAAATAGGGTTTAGAACCAAAAGTGAAAACCTCAAACAATAGTACCCCAAACGACCACACATCAGATGCAAAACTGAATTCCCCGTCACGAAGTGCTTCAACAGCGGTCCAACGAACGGCAAGTTGGTTTTGAGAATATTCGTTTACCGATGATTTTACAGGACTGGCCTCCACAGGAGTAAGCGATTGGATTGCGAGGTGAAAAACCCCAAGTTTGATGAGTGGGCCTTCGAGCGCATCTCGAATGAATACAAAACAGTTCTTGGCACATAGGTCACGATGGATTATCCCGTTCTCACCCAGATATATCATAGCTTTGCAGATATCTCGAGCAATGTGAAGCAGCACCTTAGCTGCAGGCGGTTTGCCGAAGCCTTGAAGGTACGTCCAAAGGTCACTTTTCGTTGTTCTCTCTACTATCACGTGCATCGGAGCCTCAATGCTTGAGCCGAAAAGGGTGACTATGTTTTCACACCGTTCGGGATTGCCATCTAAAATTTTGAGGATCTCAATTTCTTCTCGCAGGGGGGTGTGACCAGATTCACTTCCCAGTATTTCTTCTTTTGAGTGCAGGTGCAATTTTAGCAAGCATTTATTGCCACTCATGAAGGCATCATACGTACTGACGCGTTGCTCCAAGAACTCATTTCGTGATTCTTTTACAATCTCCAATATTTTATCTCTATGTTTAGAATATAACTCAAGAATGGATAAGTCCTCAATGCACCTACCAGCTAGAAATCCCTCGATATCCTGTGTTGTTGAAATGAACACCGCTCTCTCGCAAAGTTTCTCGCAATATTTTGCTACAGATTCATTTGGAACCGCAGTCGAGGATTTATTTTTTTCCCAGTTTTTAAAAACTCCTCCACAGCCATGTTCTCCATTTAAGATTTGCTCAATTATCACTACAAGATGAAAAAATACCGAATTTTTTTTTAACAAAAATATTGGAAATGTTTCCAGATAAATGTTGAGCTGTAAAACCAAAATTATTTGAGTGAAACTCTATATTCAAATCTTTATGCTGTTTCCAGCAAGCTGTTGGAAATAAATTTCAAAATTAATTCCATGAAATTTAAAAGAAGAAATTTGTAGGTTTACCTAAGCTATAGTTAGGGCTTTCATCTAAATTATAAAAAGAGTATTTTTATGACACATTCTAACAAAACGTGAGAGGGAATCTATTCTCATTTTTCCTTTCGATGTTCCAATTTTCCGCTGGAAATAATATTGAATCATATCGTTCATATTGATAATATGATTGTACTGCATTATATGCATATATATACATATATTATACATACATACATACATACATATATTTATATATATATATATATATATATATATATATATATATATATATATATACACCCATTTGCAAAAACGTTGGCCGCAGATAGATAGATAGATAGATACTCGAAGTCTAATTAGAATTGCATATGATTACATTTGCATGGGATTTCAATCATATTACACAGCATATGCAATTCTAATTAGATTTCGAGTATCTATCTATCTATCTATCTGCGGCCAACGTTTTTGCAAACGAGTGTATATATATATATATATATATATATATATATATATATATATATATATATATATATATATATATAATGCAGTAAAATCATATTATCGATATGAACGATATTTATCCATGAAATTATAGAAATTATCCATGCTGGCTACGCCACTGAGTTGTATTTTTGGTTATTTTAATAATTATTATATAAATATATCGCGATTGTCAAGTACCTTTGTTATTTGATGTTCTAATGAGTCTCAGCATCACCCGATAAAACAACACCTCGAAGAGCCAAGCAGGATTTGATATACGAAAGAAATCCTTGAATTTACGTTTACCGTAGCGCTCGCGATAGTGTGCAACCAGCATCTGTAGGAAAATTACAGGTCTCGGGTTGTCTTGAAACTGATAATGCTGTATTGAGAAAAAGAATGACGCCTCGTACTCATCATTTGAACTTGTACTAAATGTGAATATTACACTAAATCTAATGATTTATAAGCTTCCCGCGTTGTTTGATCCCACAGTTAGAATCGATTATCAAAAACGATCGCAACAGTGATGACGAAAAAAACACACAAATTTAGTGGTTTCCTGTGAACCAAGAAACCTGGTGGAAATAAATGGGCTTTTTCTACAACGGTGGCTCCCTAGAGTTTTGAGAAAATTGTTGAGTGCAGGTTTGATGATGTAAAATTTTATGAAGTAAAAAAATATTGATTGGCCAATTACAGAAGCCGTTGCCATGGGAACAATGACGTTTAAATATGGCCACCAATTATCATTAAACTAGAAATACATGCATGCAGCAACCCCTCGCCTCGGTTAAACGAAATTAGTTAAGCGTAGGGATGCATTATTTCATGAATTCAGCATTATTTCAGAAACTCTTCGGTGAAATGTCTTCTTTTCCAACTGAACGTTTTGCCAGATGGGTAGTAATTGACAGGACAATTTTAGGAAAAAGTTATCGATAGAAAAAAATTACAGTGTGAAAAAAAAATCCAATCGATAACCTTTTTTTAAAATTGTCCGGTCGTTTACCAAATATCTGGCAAGCATTCAGTGAAAAAGAAAAATTAACAGAAGGATTGACGAAATAATTGCAATTAAATTATAGGATTGGCAGCAATGTTAAAATTTCATTGTTGCCATGAAAACGGCTTTCATAGTTAATCCGTCAACAGTTTCTCGTCCCAAACGTACTGTACAATATAATAAAAGGCATTATTATATGGCACGCGGTCTCGTGACGTGCACTGATTGGTTCTTTGCCGGTCTGGAATCCCCCAGTATTAGACCGTTACCGTAGTAACGGTCCAACTCTCATATTTTTGAACAAAAACAAGCTTGTACTTTTATTTTTGACACGAAAAATATTGACGGAGAATGGACGAAGAAGAGCATTATTTGGTACATGTGAATATTATATTTATTCATCTTTGATTTTTGTTTATATTACTGTATCATTCTTTTTTAACGAGTAAACAACAAGCTTTGGAAGCCACTTCAGTGCTTGCTTGGCGACGGGCTGGCGAAAGAGCCGGCAAGAGTGCTGCAGCTCATTGCATAAATAAATAAACTAAATACTGTCTGCCATATAATAAATCTCTTATTAACCGAATACGTTCGGTCTGTTCTGGAAAAATATCAGACCTAGGTCTTTTATGCACGGACCGCGCTATCACTCGGTCCGTACTGTTAAGACCTCGGTCTGATATTTTTCTAGTACGGACCTCAAATTCGGTTAATAAGTGGTATTTATTGATCTTTTGTCCACAATATTGATGTTTAATTCGCCACAAAAAACTGCTATCTAGAATTTCTACAAAACGCTAGGGAGCCACGTTAATTCAAAATTTACTGACACTCAATCACGGCTTTATTAATTTTTTTAGTACAAGCAAAAATCTAAAAACAGATCAATTCAATTTAGAAATACTGTTGGAGGACTGCGTCCATCACATCAACTAATGACATTACTTTGTCTGAATGGAACTCGAACATTAGCGAGTAGTCTAGTGAAGTTGTTTTTGTAAATAGTCTGTAGAACTGTTATACTTAGTTTTAATGCATGATCGATTATTGTAATTTTGCCTAGTACTAATAAACGTATATACTTATTCAGAAATACAATTTTTGGTTGCAGAGAAAATCGACTGCAAAGTTTTGTTTGTATAATTATTACGAATGTGAAAATTTGCTGCACAATACAATAGAACAAAAAAGAAAATGAACCAATATCATACGGTCATGCACTTGATATATAATTATATTTCTGGACTTTGGAGGAGTATTCACATTTTTGGACCAGGAACTGGTCCCTAACCGCTGCTAATCTTCTTCTTCTTCTTGTTTTTGTTAGGGGGTGACGCCCTTTAAAAGGCTCCAGCATTACTTGTTTGATCGGAATGAAACTTGGCACAATTATTCTAAGCAATATTCCGCATCGATTGACGGAGTTCGAATTTTTACTTTTGACCTTTGAAGCAAGTTACAAGCAATTCTTGATATATTTGCAGCAAATAATATATACATATCATTAATATTCAGCCTATATATAAGTAAACGCACACGATTAGAAATACATTGTCCTCTCCATTGTTATAAATACAATGCAGTTCAGAAATTAAACTCGGTTACGCAGTTCCTGGTCCACTATAGTACAATCGTACTTGTTTTTTTAGTTCCACGGAAATGAATAAGAGGAAAATAAAGATAAAAAGATTTTCTTGGACTGATATCAAATAAGGTGAACAAATCATGTATTTTCCGATTCACAATCAAATTTTTAAATTATAATAAAAGTCATTTCTGAAAAAAATGAATAAGCAAGTGCAACCAGCTTTTCCGAAAATTTTCCTCTAACTGAAAATACACTTCGATACTTTTTATGTAAACAAAAATAATGAAATGAATTTTGGTTTCGCGGGCTGCTTTCTTAACTTTGTAAATATGCTTCTATACTATTATGCTAGAGCAGGTAAGCTACATTTTAATATACTTATGTGTAAATCAAAATTTCAAAAAAAATGATGCAGAAAACCATACAGTACCTTTGGCAAATCTTGTAAAAAAACAAGGCATACGTGGATATCTAGCCAACTGTCTGCTTCACTAAGCTCTCTACAAAACTTCAGCACTTCATTCTTGTTCAACTTGCTTTTCAGAAGGTTTTCACACTTTTGGATGTTAGGTATGAGGGATTCTTTACCATTTCGTCTTCGAAGAATTTGCCTAATGCTTTCCCTGGCAAGATGAATACCATACCGGTACAGACTTCGTTCCAAGTTGTCCTTGTGCCTTTGGAGGGCACCCAGCTTTTCATCAAACTCCTTTATTTTTGATTGGATTGGACGGGGTAATTCCTCTTTGCCACACTTCAGAAGGACTAACGTGACTAACCAGGCGTATGTTGTCATCCTTTGACACTTTGCTTCATCACAATGCACATCTATAAACTCAAAAAATGTTGAACGAAGTATCTCTTCGGCTTTCAATATGTTTTGACACCGATCTCTTGATAAATTTGAAATGTTTAGAAATATTTCATTTAGCAGAACATCGAGGGCTCTTTGTACAACACGAGAGCTGTCACAGCAGGCAAGCATTGCCAGCTGGTCAAGTTGTCCATCCAATACTGGAGATCTATCTTCACGCGTTTTCAAAAGATGGAAAATGATAAAGGTTTCTTCTGCGGTTCTTTTCTCGTCTTTCATTTTTGTTAATTTTTCAATGAACTCTGTCGTGTTAGCTTTAAATCCATTTATTTTTATGTCAATTTCTAAGCAGAAAGACTGGTGTTAGATTAGAACACGGTGTTTTTTAGAAATCTTTAATTAGCTGTAAAATTAAGCGAATATATATAGTAACCCTAACCCTAACCTGAACCCTAACCCTAATCCAAATGTCTTGGATTAGGGTTGTCTAACCTGAACCATAACCCTAATCCATATGAGAATCAGAGTTGTGAATCTTTTAAATAATTATGTGAATCATCCCCGAAGCTCCTGGAGTATAATGTTACCCAAACATGATTTTGAACTAAGCAGCTTTCCCAGGTATTCGATAAATTTTTTAAAAAAATAATTTGTCACAAAGAAGCTTATAATAATACTTTTTGTGTTATAGGTGCTGTGCATTTTAAATGTGATTGGTTCATTCGTAGTCACATAGGAAAACAATGAAAAATGTTGCCTCCACTTCGTCTCGAGAAACATTCAGACTCTTGGGAAAACAAAACTCACTGTTTCCCTCGGGAGCATTCCCTGGCTCAAAATCTCGTCGTTCTTGCTGCAGTTAAATACGGCAAGCTACTTGATGTTGCCACTCTGTTTTTTTTATAATCGTTTTTTAAGGTTAAAGTGAAATGCATCTGAATAGTTCTATATGGGGATTCAAAACAATTCACGTGTAATGGTTGCAACAATGCATGATTTGAAATGCTGGAACATCTTTTAAGCTCCTATCAAATAAATAAATAAATACCCAACCGGAAAAGTATTAAATTTACGTGTCAAGTTTGGACAAGCAGAAAACACATCTTTTGGCGTGTTCTCTGACACACCTTTTGGTGTGCATGAGAACACATGTTGCTATGTGGTAACACATCTTTGGAGATTCTATTTGCACACCTTTTCTGACACACCATTTAGTGCGTTCTGCACACTTTTGGTGTACATGAAAACACACGTTGCTATGTGGTAACACATCTTTGGAGATTTTATTTGCACACGTTATGGTGTGTTAAACACACCTTTAGGTGCATGTGTTTAAAAACCTACCTTTAGGTGTGTTGAATTTTGGACAAAAAATGTGTGCAAATTTTACACACATGTTTCACATGAATATTTCACATGTGAAAAAGTATCATGAAATTATCAATTCCTTTAATAACTAGTTCCCCAAATCCCATGTTTTAAGATCTCATCACATCAAGTTGAAAATTTGCATGTAACGTTGTAGAAGATTTTAGTCGATACAATACCACTAAGACTTGAGTGATCCTCAGTGTTTAGGCCATCGCCTCTTGATTGATTGTTGGTATTGGAATGTACTGCAGGTTGGTGGTTCTGTTTAGAACGCTGTAAAGAAGCATCGGTTATACACCTATTTATACGTAATCACAAAAATCTACCAATGTGTTTTGATCACGAAATTATTAAGGGGGCTGGTCTCCTGAAAAGTGTCACTGTGTAGCTGAAATTTTAGATGCACTGATCAGCAGTGTTAGCTAGTATGGTTTGGAACAGGTGTTGATTGGTACCGAGAACTCGGTACGCAATGAACGACGTTTTTCACATGTTCTAAATTTCGGAGAGAGAATGTTTTGCAATTCTAAAGGTGAATGAATGAAAAGATCGATTTTTGAGTTGTTTCGCAAGACTCACAACTTAGGTCCAGGTGGTTATATAAGGGTATTTTTTGGCTTCAAAATATCAAAGGCATCATTGCATTCCTAGTACACTTACCGAGCTATAATCCCTTCGTGGTAAGCTGGGACGCCCTAGATAGTGGTAAGATTTATGTGGTAAAATATTTGTCTTTTTAAGTCCATTATTTATGTAGTAAAACGAACATACATGCTAGCTGGTGCTGAATGCCAAATAAATCGATTTAGTGCTTTGCAAAAAACGAGAGCAATTGCATGATAGATGCTAAATCATTCGTACAGTCTACCTCTTTCTTTATTTATAGGCAGTATCAAACCTTGGCGTTTAACGCGAGATTTTTCCGCGAGATTAGGCAAACACCGGCCAATTTCTCACACTGATTAAATTTTGTAGTGACTGGAATCAGATAGCCGTAAAGCTTTTTCAAATCACCTTAAAATCGCCCGTTTTTTGTTATAACTTTGATTAAATTTTAGTATTCCTGAATTGAGGATTCTCTTTAACAATTGTTGGTTATCGCTTTTCGAGCATTTTTAGAACAGTTAAGAAATCATTATCCGGTGGATAGCGCTACCCAGTCTTCGTACAACCGGCCCCAGAGGTCGGGATCTGATCTACTAAAATTCCTGTCCTTCATGGTTTAATTTGTGACATGGTTTTGTGACAAGTGACATTTGTTAAGTTAACAAAGCTTTCTTAAGCTGACAAGGCAAGATAAAATAAGTTTGCGATAGATAAAGGCTTCTTTTCAAGATCTAGATGTTCTGAGCTTTTTAATTAAAGAGCTTTAAAGCGACGACGCCTTTCAAGAGAAATCCCAGCCCAGGCTCCGCGAATTCATATGACATTATCGAAACTTTTTCACATAATTAGCTATAGCCCCTAAGGAAAGTTTATACCATGTCATGATTTCGTATTTTATTCCATTAATAAAGAAAATAGCAACTAATTTGTTTTCTTTATACAGTTTTTTTTATTTCTTTTATTCTTGCGAAATATCTTAGTCGGTTAAATTTTTAAATTTAGTTGTACTCTTATATTTTATTGCATTTTTTGGCAATTTGTGTTGGTATTGTAATAATTCAGATTAATTACGACTAGATACAGGTGTATGAATCCAGTGGCGTAGCCCGAACGATGATTCGGGGGGGGGGGATTTCTATATATTATTCGTGATACGCAGGATTGATTTCTTGTCAATTAATCGTCTTTATATATGAATATATGAATATGCCTCCCTCCCAATTATCGATGCTGGCTACGCCACTGTATGCATGACAAAATACTACGGCACCACAGAATAACAAACGTTTAAATGATTTATAATTAGTTCCACTCTATAATAATTATAGTGGAAAGAAATATTTTATATATACATTAAAAAGAAATATGTTGATATAGATTTTTAAATATAGATTTTTTGGCTAAGAAAAATACTCTTGACACTATGGTACTAATAAAAAAACTATCTTCTAATATATATAATTTCACAAAAGAAACCTGTGTTACGTATCTGTGTACGTAGCTATAATTATGTGGCCTGTGATAAACGTTTCAAAGAAAAACTAATCACGTTAGGGATTAAGGAGTTTAATCCTAATTAAATCATTTAGTATTTAATCCTAATCAAATAATGCTAATAAGCAATAATGCTAATAATAATGATAAGCAATAATATATACAGTAATATTTGCGGGCGCAATAGATTTAAAAACAGGTAGTTAATTGCAATAAAACAATATTTGCCCCCCATCAACATTAATGACTTTTCTAGTATTGTCATGATATAATTCAGAGATTGCTGCGGCTGAAAGACTAAATTAAGTAGCGCATGGTCAAAACTTCTTGGAGGTCGGAATTTCGCTTGACACCGGCTAATATTTCTCACGTTTCTCACGTCTCGATCAAGTCTGAAGTAGCTATAAAAAATTCACCAACTCTGCTTTGTATAGCTTTGTATACACGAAAACCTAAGTTTGCCAATTAATAGCCAATCAATTATGCATCGTTGTTTTAGTTAGGAAGTCCTAAATTTTAATATACTTTTCAATATACAGGGTGTATCAGAAAAAACTAGAAGATTTTAAAATGTCCAGAAAACTATCATTTTATCAAGATATCTGAAAAATATATTTACGTCTAAGTATTTTAGCATCTTCTGGCTTATCTAACAGTAAAAACTAACAGAAAAATTAACCTCGAAAAGCGGGATACCGTTTTGTAAAGCCTTATTTTTAACCGCTTGTGCAAAGAAAATGAGACGTTGAAAATCCAAGTTCAGTTAAAGAGGTGAAAGTTTGGAATCTTTTGTGCAATGTATCGCAATTTCAAAAAATTTGATAAACATTAGGTCCGCCGCGAAACGTTTCAAAATTGGATTTTTTTTTCCCGTTTACTCCGCTCTCTCGTAACTTTTTACACGCAAGAATGATTACATGCATGAGTGATACTTGGAATGACGTACTTAAACATAACTAACAATGAATACTCTTGTTTTATTGTTTTCATTTAACAAAGAGTGCTGGTAATTACGTCATTCCAACTATCACTCATGCATGTAATCATTCTTGCGTGTAAAAAGTTACGAGAGAGCGGAGTAAACGGGGGAAAAAAATCCAATTTTGAAATGTTTCGCGGCGGACCTAATGTTTATCAAATTTTTTGAAATTGCGATACATTGCACAAAAGATTCCAAACTTTCACCTCTTTAACTGAACTTGGATTTTCAACGTCTCATTTTCTTTGCACAAGCGGTTAAAAATGAGGCTTTTACAAACCGTTCTCCCGCTTTTCGAGGTTAATTTTTCTGCTAGTTTTTACTGTTAGATAAGCCAGAAGATGCTAAAATACTTAGACGTAAATATATTTTTGAGATATCTTGATAAAATGATAGTTTTCTGAACATTTTAGAATCTTCTAGTTTTTTCTGATACACCCTGTATATCTCCATTTTTGAATATTGCTCGACGTATTCGCTAAGGCGGTCTTCCACCAGGCTAAATTTTTCGATCAAACGAAGATTTTCGCAAAATTTCTTTTTAATTGTGACCGGTCAAGGGAATTCCTTACAATCGAATTATCACAATTAAAAAGGAAACCAGGCGTAAAATTCCGTTTGATGGAGAACTTTTGCAAAATGGAGTAAAACAATTCCGCTCGGGACATGCTACAAAAGCCATGGTTATATCCGGTTACCTTTCTGGACACGAGTTAAAAATTAATACAATACATACCAATGTTTGACTCATCACTTCTTGATTCAAATCTGATATTGTCATTCTGAGGGTAAACCTATATGAAACAGCCAATGCTAATAAATAATTATGATTTGCATCCGACGGCAGGATGTATTCGAACAACAATTAAATCGTTCTGAATTTCATAATTCAGCTCAAAGAGCGAGTTTTTATGGACAAAGATTATTTCGATGCACATAATATAAAATAAACTTTATAAAATTCGCAAAAGTTGTTTTTGCGGTACGATCTTTTGAATAGAGCAAATATCTTGCGGGCGGAATATGAGAGCTTGAAAGTTAATCTAATTAAGCTAGTAGGTGGACAACTTGGTATTGTTCTATATTTTCGTAAAATTCGACTGGTACTGTTATAATTAAACTTCATCTGAAAACATCACGTCTGCAGGTACAGGGAAGCAAAGGCGAAAATATCAGGAATAAACTGGTAAAAGCAATTGAAAGTCGCAAGCAACTACAAGGGTCGTTGGATAATACGGTTGATGTTCAAACGCAGAATGGAGCCGAAGTGCAAGATGCAGTCAGTGATGCATCCAACACTGTAGGTAATTGTGGTCAAACGACATGTATATGTCCGGGACGTGAAATCTTAATGGAACTTGAAGGTATGAAGCTAGAAATGGCCATTTTACAACGTTTAACAAATAACCATGAAAATCTCCTTGCTACTAAATTAACGTTTGTCAACGAAGTCGTTCAAATGAATACCGAAATCTAATCGGTAATTTAAGATTTAAATTTTAAATGCGCTGCTCTCGAACAAAGAGCGGTGAAAGCCGAAGAGGAGAGAGATTCCCTACGCTTGGCATTAAAAATTGTAATTCAGGAAAAAGAAAGAGATAAAGATCCTAATTCTTTGCACGTATATGACCGTACTAGCCATTTTGTAAACAAAGGTCAAGGAACCAAAACTAATGCAATGCAAATTGATTTAACAAGCGATTATGCTCACCATTGTCAAGAAAGGGTAATTAACAAGGAAGTTAATCCTACCACTCAAAGTAGACAAAAAGGCGCAAATCCACGGGTGTAGATAAAAGGCGGGTGCGGACTGGCGGACGCGGACCGGCAGACGCGGACTGGCGGATGCGGACTGGCGGACGCGGACCGGCGGACGCGGACTGGCGGACGCTGACTGGTGGACCGAAAAAGATTATATTATTGATTATTGTGTTATTAATTAATGATTACATTATCACTTATGAATATTATTATACTTTTTGCTAATTATTTAATCCACTATTTTCTAAATATTCTACGTGCTCTGGTAACAGGCAAGCTCTAATTTCTTGTGGTATTTGTACAAGAGAGGGTGCAAAATATGGTTGTCTTTTCTTTAAGCACCCACTGTTTACAAAAGAAACTCGTTAACTGGTATTCGGGTGAGAAGAGCTGCTTTGTTGCCTATGTGAATTTAATTTCCTTGATGCGTACAGCGCCACATCAAAAGATACTGTAAACCGGTATAGTGTTTCGTCTGAAGCAGCCAAGATTTAAAAGGTCAATTTTCGTAATTTTAACTATAAAACATCCCTTTATTAATTTGTTTTACATGATTTTACATGTTATTGTAACATTAGCGTAAACTTTTGGCGCGCGCCCTCAAAGACCCCGTGGGTGATTTCTCGATCAAATTGGGACCTTGGGATTTAGTGATTATGCCTTATGCCAATAGACCCTATTATGATGGAACCTGAGAGTTAAATGAAACTCCCGGGAATGCTTAAAGAAAAGACAACCTGACATAGGTGTAGAGTTTTGCTTTCTTCTGGGGGGGCTCAAATTTTAGATACATGATGATCTAGCTAGCATTACCTTCTGACATTAGATACAGTTAAATATACAATAAATTTCCTCTTGATATATAATTGCATCGGTAGTCATGGTTTATATGGCCGATAGGTGGAGAAAATATTTACCAATGATTATGACCTGTTGTGGGTAGAAAAGCTAATGAGAGATAAAATGAACAAGCTGCCATGTATTTTATAATTTTATAACTCGAAAATTCTGTATTTCCCAATTGCTTTTCCGAGTTTTTTGATATATTATTATATTCACTGTGATAATTAATACCGTTTCATGTGTATGTAACGATGCCTTTTCAAAGATTCAACATTGCTCTGATGCAAATATTACTTTCTGGAAAATTTCTAGGGGGGCTGAGCCCCCCCCAGTAAGATTTCTCGGGGGGCTCCAGCCCCTCAGCCCCCCCATACTCTACGCCTATAGACAACCATATTTTGCACCCTCTCTTGTACAAATACCACAAGAAATTAGAGCTTGTCTGTTACCAGAGCACGTAGAATATTTAGAAAATAGTGGATTAAATAATTAGCAAAAAGTATAATAATATTCATGTAATATAATCATTAATTAATAACACAATAATTGTAATCATTAATTAATAACACGATGATGTAATCATTAATTAATAACACAATAATTAATAATATAATCTTTTTCGGTCCGCCAGTCAGCGTCCGCCAGTCCGCGCCCGCTGGTCCGCGTCCGCCTTTTATCTACACCCCAAATCCACGAGCTCAAACGCCAACATACAGGGTGTCCCAAAAAAATGTCCCCCCTAAACAAATCATTCTTGAGCGTTATTGTACCTATGGGAATTGATATGAATTGTACATAAACGGTGCAAGTAATTTATTCGTCAAAGTAATTAATCGCGATAATGGAAGCGAGCAAAACGATTTTACAAATAAATGGTTTTCTGCTTTTTTTACATGAATTAACTGATTTAGCCTTTAGAAAAAGCTATGGGCCATGCCCTTCAATGTGTCCCCCATTTCGTTCGACACAAATAATTGTCCGTTTGTGCATGTGGCGTACTGCATTACGAATCATTTCAGGCTGCTGCCGTAAAACATTAAATTCCTCGATTATTCCTCGAAAATCACATGGGGTTAAATCTGGCGAGCGAGGGGGCCATTCCACATTATGTTGCAGCGCTATTACACGATTCTGCTCGAAAACTTCATTGAGGCGATCTCGAACTGCAACCAGACGATGTGCTGGAGCCCCGTCCTGCGCCCACCAGTACCCTCGAAACATTCCTTCCCAATGTTGATTGTTGAAATGAATGGCAAGTTGAGGAAAAGCAAATTCATTGAGCATCTGAAGATATGCGAGGCCGTCCACATTTTGGTCAAAAAAGTAAGGGCCTAAAATCACGCCATTACCGCAAAGTGCTGCCCAGATAGTAAGCTTTACACGGGAATTCCTGCGTTCGAAGTTAAATGCCGGTGGTTGTCCCTTCGGTGCATATTCGCGCACGTTGTGGGAGTTAACTTCTCCATTGATTGCAAATCCTGCTTCGTCTCCAATAATGATGCTCTGCAAAAAGTTTTGGTTTCGACAACGTTCATTAAACCATTGCGCATAGCGTAGTCGACGTGGCAAGTCGTGGCAATAGCTCATGCCGTACGTGCATTCTGTAAGGATGCCATCGTAAATCTAATCTTGTAATCCTGTTAAAGGTTGATTTTGAAACTTCAACAGGATTACGACGAGAGCTAACACCTCGTGGGGTTTCCTCTAGCAAAGCTCTCACAGCTGCAACGTTCGCTTCACTTCGACCAGTCTTTCGCCTGCCTGAATATCGCTTGTTGCGGTTTAAGCTTGTTCCCGTGTTTTGATACTTACGAACGTTTTTCCTAATTGTCTTTTACAAGGGGGATTCCGAGTGGGAAATTCGACTCTAAACCTGTTTTGCACTTCGGTTACGCTTTGGGTTAACGTGTAATTTGTTACGATAAATACTCGCTGCTGTGATGTCAGTTGAACCATTTTAAGGCATTCTTACTGGAATTAGTAATCAATTTGTAATTTCAAATTTTTGTGTTGCTGTTCGGTTTAGAAACTATTTTAAATTCCCAGAGGTATAATACCGCGCGTTCAACAAAAGATGAGTAATTTGTATAGGAGGACATTTTTTTGGGACACCCTGTATGTACCCCCATCCGGCCAAGCGGCTTGTCAATCAGATAGACATTATAATGTTTCCAACAGTAGTGGCATTATACACAATAATGTTCGACCAGGTATAATGCCCGTGGAACATGATCATGAGTATAGTGCTCACGAACTGCGAACTTGACCAAGTAAACAAAAACGTAAACAATACTAATGCCTCTGACGACTTGAATCGACTAAATCATCAGCAAACCAGTCCATTACTTAATAACAATAGTGAGACTACACAAGGTTCCCATACATCTAGTTCGCTTAAAGTGCGGGACCAATCGAATATCATTACAAATAGAAATCAAGCGCCTCGTTCTAAGATCTCCATTCTTGGGGACTCTATGATTAAGCGAATACAGTCAAGACAAATTCGACAGGCTATGACTACTAGTAAATCTGTTTATATTCGCTCTTTACCGGGAGCTAAAACACTGGATATGCTTGATTATGCTAAACCAGCCATGAGAGATAACCCTGACCACATTATTCTACACATTGGAACAAATGATGCTCGTCAAAGTCATCCTGTACCTACGGTTAAAAACATTGGTAACCTGTGTGATCAAATCAGAGAAAACTGTCCACACACAACTATATCTTTATCCGAGCTGACAGTCCGCAATGACTTTCCCAATGCAAATTCTAAAATTCGCGAAATCAATAAGGAACTATTAACACTTAGCAAAATGAAAGGATGTCACCTGATTAATAATTCCAACATCAATTTAAAAGGACTTGATAGATATGGCCTTCATTTAAATGATGCTGGTGTTGCAACTCTGACGAATAATTTTTACCAATCATATTAACTGCATTTTTAGCGACTGTGGGCAGGCCACACACTCTCTCAACGATAATGTTGACATACTCTCATCCAATGCTGACACCCTCCCTTTTCTATATCCAGTAACTTGCCGATAAATGACCCTCTTTCCGACATTCCAATTAAGGGCATAACATTTTTTATCTAAATATCCAGGCCATTACTAATAGGCTTGATGCCATTAAACTTTTAATTCTCAATGCTGCAATCAGTCGACAAAAAAGTAACATAATCTTTTGCTTTGCCGAAACTCATCTCAATTCTACATGGACTGAGTCTGAATTATTAATTGATGACTTTGATTGTGTTAGGAGAGATCGACTTAATCGAATTAATAAACTGTTAGCGACGTTTGGAACCGCTTATATTTTAATCAATCTAGTTATTTCATTCGAACTGCCAGAATTTGGAACGAACTACCATCATCTATATAATTATACACTTATTTGAAGATTTATATGTCAGTTAAAATATAGTTTATTAAACTATTATAAAGATTATGTAACAACTACTTATGATATTGAGAATCCAATTTAACAACATGAAAAACCGTCGGTCCAAAATGTCATAATAATATTGTCTTATGTTAAACATGAAAAAGCAATCACATGCAGTGTTGCTGATTTTATTATTATTTACGGGTCACTGTTATTCGGGTTCAACCCTGTTGTTGATCCTGACAATTTGTGCATGTTATGTTGTGTATTTATGTTGGTTATCCATACGTTTGTAATTAATTTTTCTTTTGTCAAACCGAAAAAATAAAAAAAATAAAAAACATGTCAGTGGTAGTGCAAACAAACTTACCTCTTCGTATGCATCGTTCTCAGTTAAATCACTGGTGTTTCCATCTCTTTGTTCTTCGTCACCCTCTATGTTAATTAAAATATATTCGGCTGAGCAAAAACAGACCACGTCGACGAAAATTGTTCAAGATTTTGCGTAATATTATAAGCACGAATTTTTTACCACTATATATAGTATATATATATGGCAGTATATATCTTTCACTTTAAAGCTTTTCCTGTCGACTGCATAAATAATTGTGCAATCCTTGGTCCTTGTGAGTCATTTTATTCCGTTTTGATATTTGGAAGGTTAAACTTAACCCTTTCTTAAACTGTGAAAGTGCTTATAATCTGCCTGCTTGATGCAGAGTAAAACGGCTGATGTTTCCTTCACTTTTATGATTTTTCTCTGAATAATAAAAATGTCAGCTTTCGACTCATTTGAATAATTTAGTATTATAAACTTATAGCCTCAGGTCTGGCTAGTTGAGAAAATTATTTTGCTTCGATTGAAACAGAGAAGCCGAGGTGTCCCTGCATTCATGTATTTCTCGTTACAAGACTAACCATCGCAGCTTCTCTCATGACAAATTTGGCAAATTTTGTGATATACCTATGCCATGTCTGATAAAAGTAGACTTCGTGCACTAATGTTTCCTTTTCTCCGCTTTAAATGGCGACCAAAATTTATGCCTATGTCTGGGTACAATACATTTACCTTCATCGTTGCCTCTCTTCATTTTTCCTAGGCCTGTAATGAAATAATTACAATCTGACTGATTCCTTTCGAAATTAATTGTATTTACGGCCTCCAGAAATGAATACAACGATCTTCCGCTGTCTATGAAAACTCTTATTTTCTAGTCCTTTCTATTAGTAACTTCTGTAACTGCAGTCACATATTTTAATTCGACATAATTATTTAGTTATTCACGCAATTTTTTTGCAAATCTTGTTAAGGTGGCCTTTATATACCAAAAAATTAAACTGTAAGTAGAAGCATCATTTTTGGAGGCATCACACTTTCAAATCTTAACTAGGAGTCAATTAAGCCGAGAGGGTCAATTTACTTCAATAAATGCTTTTTCTCAGTGTAACAAAGAACACTAGCCCGGGTAATGTTTACTTCTTGTTACCTTGGTGGGAAATGGTAATGGTTTCTGCATGCATGTATTTCTGGCAGATAATATATTCACAGTGGAGTACTGGAGACGATAATTGGGAAAGGGGGGGGGCACATATTCGTTTTAACAGCATTTAAAATATAAGTATATATAACGAGCAATTTGATTGGCTACCGCGCGTGCATTGTGAGGCCATAATGCACGTTTCTAGCTTTTGAAGTTTTTGTTGCTAAGCAACATCTTAAATAACATGTAAGGAGAATTTCATTATTGATCAAATAAATAAATTTTGTTGTTGCCCTATAATTTCTTCTTATATTATAAAAGAATTAAAAAAGCTCGTCGCGTGCCTTTATGGTGTAATAATGCACTCGGGGAAATGTTGGAAGAATACTCAGCTACGCCTCGTGTTTTACAAGGTTCTCTCGTATTCTCCCAACATTCCCCAATCGTGCATTATTACACCATAAAGGCACGCGACTCGTTTTTTAATTCTTAAGTAAAGACAATGGTTTAAAAATAAATTAATCTTGCACAACATGAATAACATATGAATATGTCAGTCTGGTGAAATAACTGAAATTTATCCTCGCCGTAAAGTCATTTTGTCATTGTTGTAGTCTTTCTTTACAGCAATTCACAGTAGCACGTTAGCAGGATTTGGTGTTTCGGTTTATACTTTTTCACTAAAATGGGAAGTTTTATGCATTTTTATCACTATGAGTAAGTCCATATAATTATGATCAACCGAACAACAAAAGTACATTTTGGAAATTCTTTATGAAGCACAAATCAACAACGAGGAGGAATTTTTAGTACACTTTTCAGGCAAAGTCAATCAGAAGGTTGGGTTCCCGAAATATAAACGAATTCGCCCAGATCTTGATGATTTCTGTATTGCCAGCACGCAATCGTCTGTTTAATCCAGATGTTCATGTGTTATGGCGTGACGTGGCATGACGTGTTGAGTGTATGGCGCGATCATAATTTTGTTTTACACTACTGGTTTAACTCGCATGGTTGAAATGTGAAAATCACACATCAAATATCTGCGTTCTCTTCTGTATCCGTATAGGAAAGTATACTTAAGTATAGTAATCGACATTTATCGCGTGTTGTTTGCCACGCTATCATGCGGAACTTTACGATTTTATTCTCAATTTTAAAGTCAAAAGCTGTAACTTAACCAATTACTTCTCAGTACCTGATTTAATACATTTAATGGACTCTCACCTTTATTACAGTAAACAGCAGTTATTCCAGATTCGTGTAACAGCACTTATCTATTGATGAGCTCATCACCCCGTTCAATTCAAAGGAATCCCAAAATGAAACTAAAATTGCAAACAGCAAGAACATCGCAAATATTAATTGCGACAAGCGGTTACCTTAGAGACGCCATTCACCCGTAACGATAAAAACAAATTAATGTAGGGTAAGATGCCACTGAATAGTGATAACTGCAAAAATTATTGGCTATTAATTTACATTGTATCATTTCCTAATACAGAACATTAAAAATTAACTTCCTTGTGTCACATGATAAAATTTTGGAAGCATTTAAAATTTTCCGTGCGTGAAAAAACGCGTAAAGGCTGTTTTCCACTAACGCGTTTTTCATACGCACGTACACGCACGTAAAAGTCTATATCCTTAAACATGTTACCTTTGAAAAAACCAAGTCAATAAATCGAAGGAACTTAGTTTTCTGCATGTTTTAGTATCCATTAGTTAATCTAGATGTTAAATAATAAAAATTTGAAAGCATTTCGAATTTTCTGTACGTGTATGTGCCTATAAAATACGCGTCAGTGGAAAGCAGCCTTAAGTGGAAGTAGCCATACTCATAATTCATGCTTTAGTTAAGGACGCTCATTAACGTTTAGGTTAATGAGTAACGCACTAATGCTACATTCTGGCATACTCTGACACTTGTGTAACAACATGCGTGCCTCTATCACATCCAGATATCCCAATTCTAAAAAGGATTTTTACCGCATCAAAACAAAATTTCTGCCATTTTAAAATTTTGACGTAAAATGTGTAATTTACAATATATAATTCTGTTTCCACAAACATTTGAAAACAGACTACTTGTTCCAAAAATCTAATAATCTAAGCTTTCCAGACTAGAACCGCCTCGTAAACGACCTTGGTCAATATTTTCAAATAATCTGCATAAACCAGCAAATGTACCAAGAACTCCAACAAATTTATGCAAACTACTGAAATTCAATCCTCTCAGTGTAGATGATGCTCTAACATTGATCTCGGATACTGGCAGGAAACATTGTGCACTTGATCCTACGCGTACGCCTTTCATGTTAGAATGTTTAGACATCCTATTACCTGTTATCATGCACATGTCTAATAAATTCGTCTCTCAAATGTGGTGAATTTCCTGACATATGGAAAGAGGCTATCAACTATCCACCAATGAAAAATGTGGACCTTAGCTGTAGTTTCTCCAACCTCTACCTCCGCCTAATCAGCAATTTATCGTACATATCTAAACTCAATGAGAAAGCAGTTTTTAAACAATTAAACAACCATTTGTTATTGAATGCACTTTATCCCAAATCACAATCTGCAAGTATCGTAAGTACCATAGTACTGAAACCATGCCTAAAGTAACCAATGACATTCGCTGAATATGAGCGGTCAGCGTGTGTCTCTATTGTTTTTACTGGATTTAAGCGCTGGTTTGACACGATGTGGGGATTGACCCCATTTGGTTTCGAAAAGAACGAGGGGTGGCGTTGTGCGAAATAAACGCGCGAGGTTAGATCTTTCCGGAGGGCAAGTTGGGTACGCCGTGCGTAAAAGCAGGTGTATTATTCTGGCCATGTGTTTCAGAATTCTTTCCCTTAACGCATCGTTGGCGAGTAATCGGTTCTGGTATGTTTCAACTTCCATCAATTTCACAAACGTAAGCGTTGCGCCGCCTGGTTTACCATAGACGATACCACGATGAAGCGCGTGATCACAACGTGGCATGATCAGTCCAATGTAACGCAATGTGGTCGTTATGTCACTTGGTGCAGTTACCAGGCCGCGTTGTACAAGATTTCTCGCTACTATCGCCAAATCACATCGAAGTCCGTCAGCAGTCAGTCAGTGCACTGAACGAAGCTTGTTCAACAACGACAAGCCGACACGGAGTTTTTGGGTAGCCTGATGGTCGTTCGCTGTCCTCTCCGTCTACATTCCCACATGCCGAACGACAAAAGCGATTGGACATATTTGCTAGATCCTTCGTAGGTTGGTGGTCGTGATCTTTGACAACTTGAGCAGTTTTCTTGCTTGTCACTCCTTCCTTTGTAGTAGCAGCGCCATTAAACGTTTTAATTTCGATGAATGTCGGTTCCATGTAGGCCTCGTGCATTGTTGCAAATAGCATTTGCTTCCAGCACTTCGCTGTTTCTCGATATACCATGAAATACCAATAGTATTGGTATACACAAAACCATACCTTTGGCAAATCTTGCGAAAAAAACAAGGCATACGTGGATATCCAACCAACTGTCTGCTTTCACAATTTTCACAGCTTGATGCCAATAGATTTGTAAACTTGTAAGGACGAAAGCCAGAGAGTCAGAGACAAGGAATTCATTTGGCACGTGCTGAGTTGAGCAAGAAGGTAATGATGGGGATAACGGTGAAAAATTCTCAGTTATACTTAAGAACTAATCATTACTTTTGTCTGCTAGTATTTTTTTTTTTAATAAGTGCGCCCAATATTTACATGATATAAAGATGATATAAAATTTTTTTTAACTTACAAATTTGGGCTAGGAGCCTACCAGAAACCATATGGCTTTTATTTTAGGCCCCTAGTTTACTGAACTAAAATAGTTACTGATTTTAAATATAATGTCAGTTCGAATGTTATTTTTTTATAATAAAAAGATACAAAGTCAAAGGTATATTAATATGTATATATAAAAAAAAGGAAAAAAAGAATAAAAATAGTGTATATATATAAAAAAGGAAAAAAGAATAAAAATAGTAAGGAGTATGGTGATATAGGTGATAAGGAATATGTTAAAAGAATAAAAATAGTAAGGAGTATGGTGATATAGGTGATAAGGAGTATGTTATTTTATCTAAGCGTGAAAGTGTTTTTTAATTATTTTTTAAAGGAGTCGTAAGATCTTGGTTTTTTACATTGCTCAGTGAGATTATTCCAAATTTCTATGCCTCTACTAGCAAGAGTATGTTTTGCGTAGTTGGTTCTACTAAACTTTTTATGTAGTAATCTCGAGTTTCGTGTGTTGTGATTATGAATTTCCCTATTAGTAAAGAAATAATTTCTGAATATTTCTGGAAGATTTTGTAAATGAAAATATCGGAACATGAATACACTTGTTAAATAATCATTTATTTTGAATAAATTGAGTATTTGCAATTCTTTAAAAATTGGTTCGGAATGATCAAAATAAGATTTGAAAGTCATTAATCTCACAATTTTTTTTTGAATATTCACTAACTTTTTAATACGGGATTTGTACGTGTTACCCCATATTAGGTTGCCATACGTTAGATATGGATAAACCAAAGCATAATATATTAGTTTCAAAGAGTTTAAGTTTGTGAAATGCCTTATCCTGGAAATAATTGCTGCACATTTAATTATTTTTTTGTAATCAAATCCATGTGGTTACACCATGTCAAGAATTCATCAATAACAATCCCTAAAAATGTAGTGTTTTTGACTTGTTCTATATTGTTATTATTGATCGAAATGTTAATGGTATGTTTAAGTTTCTTTTTTTTGTTCTAAAATTATAAATTTGGTTTTTTTTGTATTTATAGACAATTTATTTGCATTAAGCCAATCTGAAATTTTGTTAATTTCGACTTGAATGATTTCATTCAATTTTTTAAGACATTCATTACTATATAGAATGTTTGTGTCATCTGCAAATAATACAACAGAAATCAGTTCACTGCAGTATTGTAAGTCATTTATATATAAAAGAAACAATAAAGGACCCAAGACTGATCCCTGTGGTACACCGCTTTTAATAATCTTTTGCTCGGATTGAAATCCGTTATATTTCAATATTTGTTTTCTATTGTTTAAGTAATTTTCAAACCATTTTTTGGCCACTCCCCGAATACCATAATGTTCCAATTTCTTTATCAGAATCTTGTGATCAATTGTATCAAATGCCTTAGATAAATCAAGGAAAATACCAACAGAGTATTTACCTTCATCAATTGCATTAGTGATTTTATCGATAAAGTCAATCAATGCATGTTCAGTTGATCTCTGTTTCCTAAATCCATATTGATGTTTTGATAAAATTTTATTTTTATCAATAAATTTTGATAGTCTATTAATCATAAGTTTTTCTAACAATTTTGCAAAACAAACAAGTACTGATATTGGTCGGTAATTTTCAAACTTCATTTCGTCATTAGCCTTGAAAATTGGTGTAATCAACGCAATTTTTAGATTTTCTGGAATGATTCCAGTCGTAAATGTTAGATTGAAAATGTGTGTTAATGGTTTAGAGATTTCTTTAGCTACTATTTTTGTAATGCTTGTGCTAATACCATCATATCCACAACTTTTTTTTGGCTTCATGTTTTTTAGTTCAACTTCTAATTCATTTTCTGTGATGGGATTAAGAAAAAAACTAGACCCAAAGTTACCTTTGAGATATTTATTAAAATTATTATTGTCATTTTGTTTTATTTTATTTGCCAAATTGGGTCCAACATTAGTAAAGTAGTCATTGAATTGATTAGCTATTTCTTCGGGGTCATCTAAAATATTTAATGAGTTGGTTTCAACAAAGCTTTGTGATATTTTTGCGCTTTTCTTGGGCTTATTGAGTAACTCATTAAGTGTTTTCCAGACCATTCTAGAATTCTGTTTGTATTTGATCAATTGATTTTCATATGTTTTTTTGGCTATTTTTATAATATGATTTAGTTTGTTTTTATAATTTTTGTACCGTTGTTCATTTTTGCTATTACGATTGATAAGGAAGGATTTGTAGAGTTTGTTTTTTTTCCTGATTGACTTTAATATACAGTTTGTCATCCATGGACTTTTGATTTTGTCTATCTTTTTATTGTATTGTTTTCGTTTGAGTGGAAAATTTTTTTCATATATATCCGAAAACATTTCTAAAAACTCATTATAGGCCTTATCAGGATCATTTGTTTCATTCATGATTTTATTCCAGGAAAGGTTTTTAATGGAATTTTTGAACGCCTCTGTGTTATTTTGATTAAATGATCTTTGGTATGATACTTTTCGTGTGTTAACATTTTTCGTGGTGTTTTTACTGGAGAAATTTGTATTAAACATGTGCACTATTGGCAAATGATCTGAAATATCACTAAAGATTATACCGTTGAAGCTTTCATTAAGTTCTTCTATATTGTTACTAAAAATGTTATCAATTAGTGTCGCAGCATGATGAGTAATTCTCGTTGGTTTTGTGATTAGCGGAAAAAAGGACGAAGTGAAAAGTTGTTCAACAAATTGGTTTGTATGATCACAAGATCCTGATTTAAACAGGTCAATATTAAAATCTCCCATTAAGTAACATGGTTTATTTTCTCGATCAATATTTCTAGAATCTCATTTATTGTAGTTTTAAATGATTCAAAATTGCCATTTGGTGGTCTATACACTACACCAATAATGATATTTTTACCAACTTTATTCTTTACTTCAGTGAATCTTGTTTCAATTATATCGTTTACGTTTTTATCCAAATCATTTCGACTTTTATACTCTAAATGTTTTGAAACATATAAACCAACACCTCCGCCTTTTTTATTTGGTCTATTTGAGCCGAAATATTCGTATTCATCTAAAGTAAAACAATCTATGTTATTATCTTTCAACCAAGTCTCAGTAAGTCCTATTATCTGGAAAGGTATGTCCAAAGTATACGTATCAATCAAATTTTTGAGTGAATCAAATTTGTTTGCAATACTCCTTATGTTCAAATGTAGTAGCGAAAATTTTTTTGTTATTTTTCTTTTTTCAATTTGTGATTTAAAATCTTTCGGTAGGAAATAGTCGCAACGTATTTTATTTAAGTTGAAAGACTGAAAGTGTTATCAAGTTCCATATTATTGCCGGAAAGCGCTATGTTTTGATTTTGTTGAAAAGGATTAAATCTTAATTGGCTTAGCCTATCCATACAACTTTGGCTTAAAATGTTTGTTGAACCTAAGACTCTGAAAGGGAAAACAATTGTTGTTATCATAGATGTTTATGGTGGGTTGTTGTGTCCTAGTGTGGTGCTATGTTAAAAAGATTAAAAAAAAATTTTAAGAGTGGTTTGTAATTTGATTCCGTTATCTGGTTTATGTTGTTGTGGTTTCCCTGTATAATTGTCCATCTATATATAGTTTGTCTCTTACTAGTTTAGCTTTTTTGCCAGCATCTCTTGCTTTCTTCATCTCTGGAAATAGACGTTTCCTTACTGCCACAATTTCTTCTGGGAACTGTTCCGAAACAGCTATACCCGTACCTTTTAGTTTTTTTGCGTTCGCCAGAATCCGGACTTTGTCTGGGAAGTAATTAAATTTGGCAACAATGGCCCGTGGTTTTGATCCGCGCTGTTTCCCCATTCTATGTGAGCGGTCAATCTTCGTCATTTTCGCATTCTCAATTCCAAAATGACTTTCCATTAGATTGTGGATCACCTTAGTTGTATTTTCTTCTTTATTTTCCTTCACATTGTAGAAAATAAGATTATTGCGCATTGACCTTGCCTGAAGGTCAATGACGCGATTATTTAATATTGCGTTCATCTGTTCCAGCTTCTCCATTCTTTGCTTCGTTTTTTCTTCTGCCTTTTTGGATAATTTATTTTCTTCCTTCAGGTCTTGAACCTCTGCGTGAACAAATTCGACCGAGCTTTTAACTTCAGTCAATTCCTTCTCCATTGCTTTCATACGGCTGTCGATCACATCAAGCTTACCAAGCTTTTTCATTATGTTATCAAACATTTCTTTCACATCCATATTATTTTCTTCTTCCTTAGCCTGCTTTGTATCATTTGGTTTTGGAATTTTGGAACGAACTGGCTTACTGGGCGAATTTTGTATTGAATTATTTAAGTTTTGCGCAGCGCGCTTAGAGGCCTGTTTCCTGTCCGCCATCTTATTAAGAGGCTTTTTGAAAAAATGTATCTTAACATTTTCATTGCCGCTAAGAAATTAATAGTAACCACTCCTGCTTGATATCTTGTCTCATAAGCTTTTGATTTTTTATCTGATTTCACCATTTCAAAGGGTTAGTCTGGCTTAATTCTGCCACTTTATGTGTATAATAATGCGTCTTGACTAATTTAATTTCATCTTGGATTTTATTCCTCCAATACCTGTAACTAGACCATTCCTTCCCATTCTTCTGAAAAGCAGTCTAGCGTTTTCTAATCCAAATATTAAGTTTGTTTGTCATCCACGGGCGATCTGACTGATGGATTTTAATTGACCTTGTTGGAAGATAGGTATGAAAGACAGATTAGTCAACTCTAATTTGAGAGAACATTTGAGGCTAAAAGAATGGAAAAATAAACGGAAAAATCACTCTGCTCAGTGAATAAACTTTTTTTACCCCATGTAACAAACCCTATTTTTATTGTTTATTCATCAATGTAAAAACACATACAAAACGTATACTTGATTAATTTGGTGACATCGAAAATTAATAGTGCATGATACAATTTCATCTCGGTGGACATTGCGGAATTCTATTGTGGAGCAAGCATTAAAAGCATTTGCTTAAACGTTAACGTTTCATTAAATTATTATATTTGATATATATGTACCTCTACTGAAAAGCACTTTGATACAACCCGTTTAATAAATCAGTAGCTTTTAAAACATTTACGGCTGTCAAATTAACTCAATCATTTTCAGTAAATGGCACATCTAAACCTTATTGCAGCTGTTACATAATCTTCCATGCACGCATCATTTTCATCCTTTCTTCCATCCTCATCTGGACTCACTCTATTTCGACCATGAAATATTCCGATGTGTATATTTGTGCGTAAATGTGCCGGTCGGAACACAAACACTCCGTTGTCGTATATGATACCATCCATTCCGTGCTGTTCCTTCTTCCTCATAAATGTTTTTGTCGCTGGATTATCTTGTGTAAACCGTCCAGGGAAAAGGGACGTAACAATTACAGTCATATTATGTTTATCACTTCGGGTGCATTTGTATTCAGCACAGGCAGTGGGTTTGGATTCTGTCATCGATACTGTGACAAACCCTTGTGAAATTTTGGTAGCGCCCATACTTTCAACTTTGAATGCTGCCATTTTATTTGGACACTCGTTGATATTCTCCACCGCAATTTGTACGTAACATACAACGACCCCTTTTTTATTTTCTGTGTACCAGTCCTGATCGTTAACTTGTCTAATGTCTATAATTTTCTTTAATTCTTCGCGCACAGGCATCTCGAATAAGAAACTATATTTCTCTGGACCTGCTAGGCAAGAAGCTTCATCTTCATAGAATGGCGAGGGTTTATTACTCAATGGCCTATTTAACGTTTGCATTGTGAAAAATCGATGCGATCCTTCTGAGGTTATTTCTATGTGATTTCTTTATAACATCCTCATCCAAACCTGTTTCCTTTGGCGTTAGTGGATATTGATCACCAACGACAGCCCGTATTTCCGCAAATTCATCTGTCCGAAATGTTTTTATACAACGTGCTTTATTCGGTTCGATGTTATACGATTGATATCTATAATTCACTCTACTTTGCGTGACAAATACTGTAATAAGCACTGACTCTGCTTTCTTTGTGGTGTCTTCTGCCATAACTTTCAAATAAATCTCTCCGCCCACCTTATCTAAGTTTAGATCAAACCGAATAAATTCTCTCGCATTAAGTTTGGTAGTAAATAGTGATATATGTTTATCTGATCTCTTCGATCGCTTCGTTTGATGCTTCTTCCAACTTGTGTCCAAAATGCGCCATCTTCCAGTCTTCTCTTCTAAGTACCAAAGCTTTATATTTTCTACTTCATTCTCAGTAATATTATATTTATCAATATCAAGTGAAATGTCAATGTCCCCTGTAGGTTGCAAACTCTTATCGTTTTCATCTTTAAAATCCATTTTTATCACACCAAAAGTCTCCAGTAGTTGTTCCTCGCCATCTTCGTCTACCGTGGTGAAGTCTCCATCGGCTTCTTCCACTTCTGTAACGTTTCTCGGATCAACAAAATTGACTTCAACCTTGACCGTCCCGTTATAAATTTCCCCATCTTCTGTCAACAAGCCTTGGGGAGGGACAGCAAATGCTACAGCAGGTTCTAATTGTGCGTCGTCATTATCAACTACATTTTCCTCGTTTGACCTATTTAATCCACGGGTATTTTGCGAGTTTCCCAGGGAAATCTCAAAGCCCATCTTCGCATCAACTTTAATAGGTTCAGGCCGAGGCTTCAGTCGGACTTCTATATACGTTTTACGGCCAGTGACCAACGGAATCACTTTTGTTAATTCCTGAAAATTGTTATAATTACGTTTATCCTTAAACGTTACAACAAAGCGAGAAAAATCACCAGGAACTTTAAATGAGAAATCACCCTTCCTTCCAGTACGAGCCAAATATTTATCACCGTGATAAATATATCCATATTTAAAAGGTTTATTGTCTGGACCTCCTCTTGCTACTCCTTTAACAACAGTTTGTTTCACAGGGCAATCGCCGCAACCACATTTTGTTACACTTTTTATGTCAAACGAATGCTGCAAACAAACGACCTTGATGTTCCTTGTAGCAATTGGCTGGCAACAGAATTTATCTCTACAATCGTTCATATTTTTTAGACCTCGTGCGATGCATTTTGTTCTCGCACATTCACCTACGTCAATAGTAGCAGAATTTGTTTCTCCTGCCGTGCAGCCCTGCGGCAGTGCAATTATGTGTTGAGATGGTGTTGGATCGCAGCTATCATCGGTGGTATCTGTTAAAATAAAGTTTTCAGACTTAGAAGGAGCTTGTAAACCAAATTAAAAGATGGTGGAAATAAGGCTTGAAGGTGTTCACGCAACAAAACATTTCAAAATCGAGACAACCTCTATGAAAGGTAATATATTTTGGAAGACTGAGTTTTCGATTTTTGCTGCGATTTTCTTATTTTCAGAGCTGTGAAAGAAAAATAAGTCACATCAAGAACATCCGTAACACCGATAAGAACATCCGTAGCTAATTCGATCCTTCATGCCCATCAAAAGACAATAATCGCACATAAAATCGCAGAAAAAATTGGAAGTGTATACGGGACTTAACTAAGTAAACTTTGAAGTCCTCACTGCGTGGTTTAGAAAGCAATAAAAGTTGTTATTTTTTAACTATGTAAATGAAGCAATCTGATTGGCTGAAGAGCGTTTCACAGCGGGCCGGTTTTTTTCATCCGGCCCCCTGTGGGAAATGTGAACAAAACGATAAAACCAAAGTAACGTACGGCTAAAATGTGCGGAAAACCTTTCTGGAAAAGAGTAAAAGAATGTTAAAAATAAAAAAAACATTTTTTCGCCCGTTAATAGGCGTTATTTTTTTAATCGATTTGCCGTTGCTATGGTAACAAATATTTTCAATTTCGTTGGCTGTTCTCCGACTAGGATGTCCTTTTAAGGATTTGTTGACATATTTTTCTGTTTTATAAAGTCAATAAAGTCAAGGAGACCTCAGGCACAGTTTTTTGCATCCGGCCCTCGCATAAATAACATACATATCCGATAACCCTAATTATTATATTCGTCACTTCCGGTGAAGTGAAGTTCAGTGATTGGCTGAGAAGAATTTTCAGCGTTCAATTACTATCTCGTAATGGACCGGCACCTTCCCGTAATGGGCCCGATATTTCTCGGTAAAGACCTCGCGCTCGGTCAATAAGAAATTATTAATTTTTGAATTCGCTCAAGTATGGTTAATTTCTGATCTCTGTTATTGAAATTCCGACAGGCCGGAGACCTGATTCCACGTAATTAACGTGCCTTCTTTTACAAGCAGACTTTTTTGTGAGATATTGCTGTCATCATGGCGCAGAGCTTGGACGTTGGTTTAAAATGGCGATGGTCTCTGCATTTCTAGATATATACTGTAATGCACTAAAGGAGTTAAGTAAGATATTTATTATATACACATGAAAGCGCTGGGCTAACTTGCAATCTGATTGGCTCTCTATACTAGACAGATATTAGCTGATATTAATTCTTATTAGCTCATATCTGCCGTCTGGTAGAGAAACGTGACCAAAATGGCGGCAAGTTTTTAGGAGTTAAGGGACGATGAAATTCAAAATTTTTGATAAAAGTACACCAAAGTGCACCGAAAGGACACGAAACTTTGAAATAAAAGTGCTGAACGGTAGGTTAAAAATATAGGTTTACAAAACATATGAGTTTGTTTCTGTTTTTCTGTATAATAAAACGTTCGAGAAAAAAACACGATAAGGAATTTAACTATTAAATTTTTTCACTGTATTCACTATAATGTCCAAATTACGAATAAATTTGTTCAGTTAAAGTTATTCTGCTCACTCTCATCGTATATGACTAATATAGCTAATTCGTCGCTGCGCGCCTTGTCAGCTATCAGCACATATATAAGACTTAAGATCGACTATAAGACTTAAAATATAAATGTTAAATATATTAATATTAAAACAATTTAGACATTCGCCAGGCCATCCTTTTCTTTTCCGTCCAAAGAAAAACACGTATAGTGTAGATAATACCACCATACTTACTAAAAACGGTTATCCTGGCAGGATCTGAAAATTCTGCTCCGTGATCATCGTAAACTCTACATTTTATTTCCCCACTCATGTTTTTAAAAACATGAGGTATAATCAATTTACTGCTTTGTATTTCATCATGTTGGTATTCATCTGCTCCACGATCATTAATCGTCCTAAAAAAAAATACAATTAGGGGGATAATCCGAAGATTTTTTTATCTTTTCGTATCTGTTTGCTTTCTTTATAAATACATTTAGGTAATTAATTGACGAGAAAATTTAGTTATGTGTGCAGAAAAGGCAATATAATAAAATTAATTTTGAAATTAATTGAATGAAATGTATTATTCTATGCATTGTGAAATGTTGGCTACGAAGGAAACATACCATTCGAATTTTGCCTTTGTACTTGATTTTCCTTCACAACATAATGTGATAGGTTGACCTTCTAGCCGTAGTTTACTTTCAGGGTGAGATGTTATTTCTGGGAAGTCTAAAAAATTGTTATCAGTAACGTAATCAGTCCTTGATGCAAATCGGCAGTATCTTGACCGCTGCGATTAAAGTGATTAAGAAATTATTAGCCGGAAATAGTGCAAGGATAGTCGCGCGGGGTGGATTCAGCACTAGTGCACTACAAAGCAAAGTGGTTCTTTTTAGCAGTTCTCGTGTAAATGCAAATTACGCACTAGTGCCGGATCCACCCCTGTAGTCGCGGTTAGAGTTGTCAGAGCATCCACATGCATCGAATTCAATTCATAGTCGGCGCTCAATTTTTTTGATTTAGAGATCTTAAACGACTATAGGCATGTCGCGGTTTGGTTCACACTCTACGCCTTTTTTTACCAAGATCTTCAAACTGTATCGTATTGAGCTATTGATTATTCACGGTAGGGGGGAGCTCCTTTGCTAGGCATTCGGGTTGAAGTGACTGATGGACAAACAAGCCGCGGGGATGCGTTTTCTCCGAGTTCTCCTTTTTCCGTTTTTGCTTGAAAAATACACTCAATATAAACAAGAATTAACGCCAAAGTAAGTTTTCACCAAGTCATATGTTTATAATAATATATTATCGACATCATGAAATTACTTTAATTTTGTCCCCTACCAATTTTCCTCAAGATTGCTGTCACGACTGCTGCAGTAGGGTTAACTTTTGTCGTTCTAATTGATTGCGGTAAAAAGCCTTTTCTGCTAACGATGATGTTGTCCTCTGAAATACAGAATCCTTTCAATACGAATTTCCCAGAAACACCGTCTTTTTCCTAATATTTTAAACGGAAACTCGGCAAGAGCAATGGTTGCATTCTCCAAGAGAATACCGGTGTTGTCTTTGACCACTCCACTTAGTGTGTTATCGTCACAAATATCGCATATCCAGCTTCCCAGTTGTGCAGATTTTATTACAATCTAAAGATGTTGATATAAATATAATTAGAAAAGGTAACTCACCTCCAATTTTTTACAGCTTATTTTATATATTTTAGAGACATCCCAAAATATTGTACCGATTTTGAAAAGTAATATCTCCATGAATTTCTTTAAAAAACTATGACATATCAAAATCTATAGTTAGTCTTTTGTCTCACTATTGAAAGTTGTTTCATAACTTCACTCGATATGTAAGAAGTTATTTTGACAAAAAACCGGAATCACATATTTGTAATCACATTACGTTTTTGCTTACCAAAATCGTCCACTACAGTCTGTTTCATCCGTATAGGAATCTTCAGGTGGTAGACAAATAACGAAATGACGCCGCTTAAGTAGTTTTGGACGAAACGTGGTGGCCCAGGCGTTCAAACAATCTGTGGCGTAGCTGGCATTTATTTAATTGGGTGTCATACTGAGTCATGCACATGTTCATGTTGTGCGTGACTAACCCCTTTTAAAATCGACTGTCTTTACATTCTGTCGCAAATTGTCCCACATTGCCGCAAACCAATGAATGGTTCGTAATATTTTTTTCGCATAATGTAATCGGCGCGGAAGATTCTTTTCTGATTACACGTGTTTGCATTGCTAGTGGTGAAGCTGCCTAGCTTGTATGCAATGTTCTTACTCACGCACTTATTTCTTAGGGGGGAAAGGTGCTCTTAGTGCTGCAGTTGCCCATACAACTGTGGTTTACCTTAACTGTGTCTAGGTGGGAAGTGTTGTGTGGCTGTGTGTCGAGCAGGTTTAGGAAGCTGCGGTCAACCGATTGGTTCCGACACTCTTACTGAAAGGAGGGTTGAACCAAAAGACGTTGCGAGGCCTGCTCCTGCATGCCAGTGGTGCTTGTGTCTGTAACTGATGTACAAATATATAAAGATGCTGTATCATTAAATGATTGCTCGATAATAACTATTAGAATCTTCAGGTGGCAATCCTAAACGGATGAAACAGACTGTTGTAGCCTCTCATAATGAAGATCTTGTCTTTAAGGAATTTGTTTTTTTACTTTTTATTTCTTTAAATCGTCGGCTGGCATGCCTTTTTTATGATTACGTCAAATGTATCTTAACGTCCGTTGGCCATCAGTCAAATCCCGGTGCTCAAGCTATACCAGTGCGTACAATTTGGCATTACATTTTCTTTACCTGGACATTTCCAGTTTGCGCATGCCCGAGATTCCAAAGACTTTTCACCGCATAGAGTGTTATCACCCAGAACGGAATTTGTCCCAATGCACGTTCTTTGGCGTGTTTGAATTCCATTATCACACGAAACTGAGCAATCAGTCCATCTTCCCCACCTCGACCATGAAGCTTCGACTGAAATAATAGAAAACGGTTTTAATCACGGCCATCTCATCGATTTTTAGCTCTATTGTCACCTACTTCACACATAAACCGAATCAATGGAATTAATGGAAAAACTCCGGAACTACCGTGTGACAAAACAACATTGACAAATATTTCGAAAGAAGTAGAATTTCGAGAATAACAACCTAATTACCTTTACACTTTGGCTCTGAGGCGTTCCATTTACCATTGGTTTCACATCGAAGAGCTTTTTCCCCAACCAACATGTAGTGTTTATTACAAACAAAACTTATTTCGTCCCCTTCCAGTGATCCGCCACAAGGCCGTTCTTAATATATGATTTTTCTGCAAAAAGCTAAAAATAAATGTAAAAGAATTTACGCACAACAAAATGACACATAACTCTTGTTTTTCTTGTTTTCCCTTAACTAAATATTTCTCGCAATTAAGACTACAATTATCTGGATGGTAAAAATAAGAAAAACCAAAATACGAACCTACACATTCAGGTGGGATATCTGACCATTTTCCATCATGACATTTAATACTAGATGATGATCCGATTATCGCATAAGAAAGTGGGACGTATTCTATTTCCCGTCCCGCCTGGGCAGGATCCTAATTTGAGCAACTAAATCAAACTTAATTATACATTACCAAATAGTAATCACGAGAAATAGATGACTATTGGGAGCCTTCTTAAACACGGGATTTCAATAGTCTACCGAGGCAACAGCTCGTCCTATAAATTGTGTTAGCTTAGATAATCTAAATATGCTAATAGAGTTGATGTTTGCGGGCATAAATGTGTTTTTGTTCCGAACTCATTTACTATTATATTAACTTTAACTTTATGCAATAGGTAAACACTTAAGTCATTCTTTTGATTGGCTTATACCAGGGGGCTAAAATATGTTTCAGCCCGGCAAATTTATCATTTTAGCCCGCAAAATACACAGCAATGCCCGGCAAGTTAATATAATCTTACGTCGACATTTCCATGTTGCACACTCTCGAGTTTCTGAATCTGCTCCAGGACACCGCCGGTTGTCATTCAGTATTAAGTTTGTTCCTGTACATGTCCTTTTCGCATTTGGATTCCCGTATTACAAGAAACAGTGCATTCGGACCATTCAGACCATCGAGACCAAGTGGCTGTGACTATACAGAAATAAAAAAGTGCCACATCTTCAATCTTCACAGCATGTCATTTCTGAGAATCCAATGATTCAAAATGTAAACTAACTCCTACTATTTTCGAGTAATGAATACATTTTTAATTTGGATACAACTGAATTAGTAAAAAATTGATATATATTACAAAATATCTTATTTTCCTCTATACTACGGCCAGTAGCCCCTAAAATTCCTCATACCTGATCTCGCTATGAGAGTATTCAATCCAGCTGGGTAACCATGAGAATGGTATGCAGCTTCCCCAAATACCAAGGCGCCAAATAACGAATCACGCGATCTGTGGGATATTGTGCACTTGCTTGAAATTTGAAGAATTGTCCACGAAAATTTAGTTCCTTCAATGTTTTGCCATTGGAGTGAAGTCGTGTTTCCTCCATTCACTAAGAGGCCCTCTTTCTGGGAGGATTTAGTGAGGAGAGTCACAGAATGTTGGAACTCGTTCTCTTTCATCCAAGACAAATATACATTATACGTATCGAGGAAATGATCGATAGACGGCACGATAAGCAATGATGAATCAACCTCTATACCTCGCGTTTCTAAATATCCTTTGATATATTGGACAACTTGGCAAGGCTTACTACACTCGAAGAATGAAGCCAACTTATCCCCTAAATCATATTCAGTAAACTGCCCAGATTGTAGCAGACGATATCCATCTTTATTGCGAACACGAGTGTCGTTTTCATAAGCAAACACACGATAAATGTCTCCAGCTTTCTTGTTCATCTGCCCTGTTGTCGCAACTACAAATTCTGTGCCCCAGTTCTGGACGGGAAGAAGGAATTCGATGAGATGATCGCAAAACCTAGTGTTAACCTTAGCACATTTATCACCGGATAGAACCGCTATAGCCTTATTTGCTTCAATAATTGTCCCAGAAAGATCTGCATTGTGGTCAATGTGAAATGTTTCCAACCTGTTCAATCTCAACACAATATTTTTTCCTTTCCTGTATAACTTTTGACCGTATCGAAGAACCCCGTCGGCATTGAGTGTGATACTGACAACTGTGTTGTCTTCAGTTGAAATTATCCCCAAATTTGTTTTTTCATAAGATGCAACCACATACTTTCGACCCAGTTTTGTCGTAGGCAATGCAAGATAACTGTCAGAAGTAAATCGTGCCTGGCTTAAACAAGATACAGCCACATCTGCGGTAGATGTTACCAATATGCCCTTTGTGTCTACCCTTGTTGAACGCATTCTTATCCATGTTGGCATCTTGTATTTGAAAACGTCCCCAGCTTTTATGAACTTGTTTCTGAGACGTGCACTTCTTGATTTGTGTAAAGAAATATTGACATATGTATCGAATAATGCAGATATTGATATTTTATCACTCCACTGTAAAAAACGCTATCTATACGAGCGGTGAATCCCAGGACAAAATGTTTTCCACGGTGTGTGCACCTCCTGACAAAGAACGAAAGATATATTTATCATTTATAGACCTGGAATGAGGGGGATTCGGCGAGATGTTTTGCCGAATCCCCCGAGCAGAGGGTCTATAAATTATATATATTGTTACGCAAAGCTTTATTGTGTTTAGAGATATGCATATAAAAATAGCTGTAAAAATAGGAATATCAATTGCATGACAGGGATTAGTGAATGATTTTTGCCACAAGACGCCTGAGTAAATATAATTTTCGGCCATTAGCAAACATTAATCGCCTTTCCCTTTCATGTATGACATATCGTGGGATTAAATGAGTAATAAGGTGAAAATATTTATAATCCTCTCAGAACTGATACCTGGATAAACAGTCTTAAGTCGTCACTTATCTTAATGGTTGCATTCTTTAAAAAAGTGTGCGTGCTGTAGGCCATTCAAGTTCTTATGTCAATCAATTGTGGTAAAAATGTTGCTCGGTCAAGCATGTAATAGATTACGTCATCAAAAGTTCAATTCGATAAAATAAGAGTGAAAATAGTTTAAGTTGAAAGATATTGTTCACAGACGTATTGTTGGTATATTTTACTAGTTGTTGATGATGAATATTTTAAGTTGTGAACATTTTTAAGTATTGATCGATTGAGCAGAAGACCAACTCGACTAGTGCGACAACGCCTTAAACAAACAAGATATGAGAGCTGGAACGAGCTTCTAAGACCAACCCACATTTCTAACTTACAACGCTGATTGGTTGGATAAGGATCAGCCCACTCTGGTTGATGACGTCTACAAGTTTCCCTCAACCGTTACTATAAAAGGGCGTGCACAACACCCCAACCTTCAGTGGACTGACGGAGTAAAGATTAACTTATAAAACGTTAGGAAGCTCAACGACAGAACTGACGAAGAAGACAAGAACAGAAAAACAACGAGATCCGAAAGGACGAATAATCAGAAGAGAAGAGAAGAACGGAGAAAGAAGAGAACATTAATGAACTTTAGTAAACCCTTGTAAAGATCTCCTACCTCGCGTAAGAAGAAATAAAAATAAAAATCATAACAATATTATACCGAAAAAATATTGTGAGCTTGTAGAATCGCCAAACATACAGTACAAAGGTTCAGAATAGTATTTCTATAAATCCGTAAAAGTACTTGGGCATAAAAAAGTTACCGTATAACGTATTTTAACATTAGTCAACTTTTTGTGTTTTCTGTATTTCTTTCGTCGAGAATTCTCTCGTAAGAATCGTAAATTTCTTGATTTCAAAAAAACAGCAACACTGTTCCTGCCCGGGCACCACGCGTCGGCCACGCGTTTTTCTGCGAATTAATATTCACCGGTGAATATGAGTGATATTCACCGGTGAATATCAAAAAATCTGCCGTTGCAGCGAATACGGATGACGTAAGAGCGATACTGAGAAAAATTTCACGATTACGTGGCAGAAATCTAGCTTTCTCATTGCACAATTTGAATTTGTGTTATAATCCCCGAGCCGGCGCAGAGCGCCGTGCGAGGGTACTAATTCCTCCCGGAGATTTGGATTACACCCGGGTATTGTGACAAAACATAGCGGAATCCAAAGTTGTCCAAATTTTATGTCATGTACCGTGGACGTTCAATGTTTATGGCACTTGTGCGCACGAGCAAATTTGAACGAGTAAGGACTGGTGATTAGCAACTTCTGATTGGCTAAGACAATTTTTCATTGAAAAACTTTAGCAGTTTAATCACGCACAGATTAGCTATATACAGATAAAAACATTGGCTGATTTGGCTCTATGGAATATATGTACTCTGGCCAGTGAACTGACTCTGGCTGAATTCTTTGCAATGAAGTCCCATATTTACACGTAAACATTATTTATCTGAATTTTTCAAGTTGCTTTTTAAATAGTATCAAAGCATAGAGTGTCTGATTGCTAATTTTAAACCCGAAACTCAAAACATAACATGGCCATGAAATAAAAGATAAACTTATATTCCTTTGTTTACAGGTTTAATAATCCGAGGATGTATTGAACGCGATATGGCAACAACTTGAGTTTAAAAGTAAATTGATTCCATACGTGATACTTATCGGATATAATTTGTAACATGAAATGTTCAATATTAATCAACCTATAACATTTTTAAAAACCGGTGTATCTGTAAAAACCTGGATCTAATTCAAGTAATTATAGTATATAATTATATTGTATTGTATTATATTGTTTATTCATTTGATTGTTTCCATGTTGAATTCATTTTCTGCCAGGCGCTAAATTTGTCAAAACCACCCCAAGCACCCCCACGCGCTCGCTTTTTTTTAGCTGACCTCTTTTCAATAACTGAATGCAACATTATTTTTTATTATTGAAGCGCCTGGGTACGAGGCTGCAGGCAAGCTGAAAAATTAGCTTGACCACGGTGGGAATCGAACCCGCGACCTTTGGTTTGCTAGCTCAATGTTCTACCAACTGAGCTACAAAGTCAAGATGGTTCGAGTAGTTGATATTTCGCGGAACTCAGTCTAGTCCCCTTCCATATCAGTGCGTCTTAAATGGATAGTCATAATGCAAAGACTCAGGTGTGTATATTAAATGTGAATGTGATGTTGCTACTCTTGAGTCAGCAACCAGGCAAGCTGAAAAATTAGCTTGACCACGGTGGGAATCGAACCGCGCGGTTTGCCGTAAACGTCAAACTATATAACTCTCTACACTACGTGCGATATTTGGTACGGCACGGATAAAAGTTCCGACCGTGCCACTTTTACAGGTACTTTGGACTGTCTAAATAGGTAGTCCAAGCACGGATAACGGATAAAAATAGTACGGGTGCCAGTTTTATCCGTGCCGTATACACCAAATATCTCGTGTAGTGTAGTGTAAACGGGGCTGTTGTTTTATAAAACGAAAACATAAGATCCATATCTTCGGGCGAACCGTGTAAAGTTATGTTTATATATGGACTTTTGCAAACTTGAAAAATGAAAGAAATACAATTCTGATTTTTCGCCGCTTTTGACTATTATTTCGCTCGGAAAACATAAATAAGTTTCTTAAATTAAATTATACTGTGTCAATAAAAAGTATAACAAATTTTACCTCGCATTTGTTTTCTTTTTTGTTGTTATTTCCAACATTAAAATCGTTTTATAGAATATGAATTAACTGAACTTAAAAGTCATTTTGATAAAAGCGATCGAGTTTTCTTAAAACCACGATAATTATTGTAAAAAAGTATAATAAACTTTACCTCGTTTGTATACTTTTTCTTTATTAATTTCTATACTATTTTTTTATATGAACTAAAGGCAATTTTAAATTTGCCAAGAAACAGTAACAGCGAAAAAAGGCGGAAAGTTACGTACTCAACCCAATTGCACCCATATGAAAGTTCTTTTGAGTTCAATGGTCACTCCCAAGCGTAACATAATTATTTCGATTACTGCAGCCCATTATGGGATAATTGTGGAATTGGCCTTAAGGACAGGTTACAAAAATATCAAAATCGAGCCGCAAGAGTAATTACTGCATGGGAGACATCGATCATCTGAATTACATACAGTGCTGTCCAGAAATAACCTAACACTGCAGTCGCGGTTCGGCCGCGGTTCGGTATATATGTATATATGTATGTGTATGTAAAATTTATTTAAAGACACCGCCCTCGACAACAATACGTTGGTTTCCACGGGGGCGTACACATGCAAGATTAAAAATTACAAAGAGCGTTAAGAAACTAAAGACTATGTACAAGTTGGTGTGACCCAGATAATTATTATGGTTGGAAGGTATTACAGTATGTTTTTAAGTATATTCATTACGTTAGAGTTAAGTTTTAAGTGGCTCTTGAATACGTGAATTGATTCAGCCAGTTTGGTGTAGATAGGGAGTTTATTCCATAGCTTAGCTCCACTATTCAAATCGAGATTAAGTAATGAAATATAAAACGAGATTAAAGTTGGATATACAAACGAAAATATTTAAAAGACATCTTTAGATAAGTAAAATTTATTCTACTTTAATGTTCATAGGCTATGTGAATTTAAAAGATATTCGCTTTTATAATGGTCTTTCGCAGTTCATTTACTTGTCGTCTTTGTGTGTATTTTTATGTTCTCGTGTCAAAAACACAAGCACAGGATATGAAATAATTAATGTGCAATCTAATTGGTTCTCTTCTAGACTTAGATCAGGTCATATCTGTCTAGTAGAGAAAGGTAAACAAAATGGTGGATTTGGGGAGTTAAGCGACGATGAAATTCATCAAGTTTTCCTTGATAAAACTAGCGACTAAATTCTGATATTGCCCGTGTGACCCCTTGCAGAGGGAATTAATATTTCATAGCCATAGCTTTTGAGGACACCCGAAAGGTCGAAATGTGGAGAGAGGAAAAGAGAGGACGGGCTCCAACCATAGCTCTTACCCCAGTCCTCTCTCCTCTGTGGGTATCGTATATCCTAAAATGATTTTCCTAAAAAAAATTGTGCAATAAACATGGCGACCGGTCATGCCTTCTCTCACAAGAACAATTAAAGTATGCTTATAACGTTAACACCTTTTAAGCAATCAAACCTACTCAAAATGAACGAGGATTTCGTCTGGAAAGGCACGTGAAAGTCTGAAAGTATTTGTACAATGCAACTTGGGCATCGACGGGTCATGGAAATCTATACTGGTGAAGAAGTTACTACGAAATTCGCGAGTAAAAACCACACGCTTAAATGGTATGGCAAGACAAAAAGCTCATGGTAATCGAAGATGATGATAACAGCCTTAAAGAGAAACTCGTGAAATCAGCTACCTTGGGTATAATCTCAAAGGTCACGATGT